TATGGTGGAGCACATCTGCAGTTCCAACTACTTGGGAAGCTGAGGCAGGAGAATCACAAATTAGTGGCCCATTTAGCAAGGTCCAGTATTAAAATTAAAAAAAATTAAACCCAGCTGGGAACACAGCTTGGCACTAGAGCACTCCAGATTCCATCCCTGGTACCCCAAGACAAAAGCTTTATGTACATGGCCACATGGCCTGTAGACTGCCACTGACATGCACTGGGATGTTGGTTCTAGGACACCTGGCACAGAATCTGGCAGCTCCAACACTGAGCCATGCACTCGGACAGTGCCCCCTTCCCAGTTTGCCACCTCCTTCCTACCACAGGAGAGCAGCACTAACCACTGTGGTGGCCTCTCCTCTTCTTGCCCCTGGGGAACATGAGTGTCATCCCCAGATGGTTTGGGGTCCACTCAGAGAAGCAAGAACAGAGAAGTGCCTGGGGCGAGGTTGTCATGGGGGCAGGTGCCAGGACTTACAAAGTCACAAGAAGTGGCACCTAATTCTGTGTTAGACAGACAAGAAGGACCTCCTGAAGGAAAGACCGGGGTCCTGGCCTGGTCTGAAAAGTGTATTTCAGAGCTGGACAGCATAGGGACAGAAAATGCTGAGGCTGAAGGTGTTGGGCCCTGCTGAAGTGACACAGTTGGTGTTACGGTTTATGTTCAGAAGCACCCCACCACCACCACCAAACTTCATGCAATCATGGACACAGCCACATCTAGCGTTGGTGATTGGTTTGTTGTCTAGTGCTCCAATTGATGGTGTGAATACTACAGCTGCCCAGGAGTGGAGCCAGCACACAGGGTAATGGAGGGATGAAGGCATATCTTTCTCTCTTTTGCCCGGTTAGTGCTTTGCTATAGGGGTGGCCATGAACTGCTGTCCCTCAGCCATGTCATTTTGCCTTGGAGCTGAGTATGGCCTGAAACTTCCAACCTGAAAGAAAGAAACCTTCCCTTCCCTAACTTTGGGCATCACGTATTTTGGCTCAACAATGAGAGAGAAAAGAAACTAAGACAGTGAGACAGACTGGCGTTAGTTTCCCTGTTCTGGAGGCCATGGACATTACCTAGGCACACGGAGGCTTCCTTTTCCTCCTTGACCCCAACTAAGGAGTCGGCAGTTTGCTTCCAAGGGCTTGGGGATTGTACCCTGTGGTCTGCCCCATCAGTGTGCCTCTCTCCTCTCTGACTGTATTCAGCATTTCCTGTGAGAGTCTGCCAAAGACCTGTTTATTTCAGTTACTTTGATTTTTCTTCTAAGAAAAGCAAAATTTATGGAAATAAAACTGGTTTTGAAACAAGAACCATAACAAACAAAGATTTCCCCTCACTCACAAATGAACATAAATCATCAGTTCCAACACACTGCCTCTGACTGCAGGGCAGCAGCTGGAAGGGGAGCCTACAGGTGCAGCTCACAGACCCCAGCTGGCAGTCCTCTCTGGGTCAGGGAGCCTTTGGGGTAGGCTCAGACACACAAAACCAACTGCATCTACAGAAATTTCTTTTGAGGATTTTCACTTCCTCTAGGCTTACTCAACAGCACTCAGTTTTAGGGTTCCTTTGGTCCAAGTGTTCATTACAAATCTAGGAGGATCAGTTTGAGTTTTTCAACTAATTCCTGCCAGGGGCACCAATGTGGTGGCCTGGTGGCCAGAACAGCCCAGAGGACTCCCTTTGTCCCAGTATGGAAGCAGAACCTTGCAGTGACATTAGCACAGGAGGTGCCCGTCCTGCAGGGGGCCTTGCTGAGTGGTCCTGCAAACCCTTCACAGGCATGGATGGCAGTGGTGAGGGGGAGCATCATGGCAGGAAGCTGTGGAAAGGAGCCGCTCACCTCACGGCAGCCTGGAAGCAGAGACCAAAGAGCAGAGAAGAAAAAGATACTGTTTTCTGGGTTTTGAGGGAGTTTTTATTTGGTTTTTTGTTTGTTTGTTTTTCAATCCTTGGGAGTAAACTAAGGGCTTTTGCAATGACCTGTATCTCTAGATCTTTTTTTTTTTTTTTTCTTTTTCACTGTTTTAGACAGGGTATGGCTAAACTTCCTAGCCTGTACTGAAAACTTGCAATCCTCCTGCCCCAGCCTCCAGCAGTGCTGGGATTACAGACATACACCACCAAGCTGATCCTTTTTAAGCAGAAACATTTTTAAAGCTTTCCTCTTCCTGCCCCAGCCCTCCCTGTTCTCCTCTGCACTGCCCCCACTGCATCTCTGCCCCAAATAACTGAGATGCAGCTTCAGGCTGGAGATACCAACAGAGGAGCACGGTGACTACTGTCTGGCAGCCAGTCACAGTGGGTTTGAAAAATATCCAGAGTCCCTTTCCAAGTCACAGTTAGTGTCTGCACCTGCTGTCCTCTAAGGTCCCTGCCTTTTAGGGGTTGAAATGGTCATCTTTGAAAATGAGGCTTCAGCTTAGGGGGAACTGGGCCTTGACAAACTGTATTCAGCAAGTGTCAGTGGGGGCCCTGTTGGGGTCCACGGTTGCTGGGCATCCAAGTTCACGAAACCCCCATCCTTCCTGTCACTCTCTTCGCTTCCCAGCTGCTGTGAGCTGAGCAGCCCCCTCTGCCACCTATTCCCGCCACGCTGTTCTACCTTGACACAGGCACATCACCAAGGGACCACCAACAAAACTCAAGCCCAAGTAACCCTTTCTGCTTTCACACTGGTCACCTCTGGTGCTTGTCACGGTAATGGGAAGTGGACCAGATTGCAAGGTATGACCAGCTTTGCAGCTGAAGAGACTGTGGCCTGGAGCAAGCTGCCTCACCCCATCAACACAGTCAGCATTCATGTGTCACATAAAACCCTGCAGGGCTCTCACCACATGCCAGGCACCACGGAAGCAAGGATGTGAGTGGCCCTGCCCTCGTGGAGCCTGGCGTCAGTTTCAGGGACTGACATATGCACAACTGGAACTTTGTGGGCACCAGAACAGGCAGATAGGTGCGTGACCAGGGCCAGCCTGCCAGCTCCAAAGCCCACAAGGTCTCCGATGCACAAGACATGAGGTGGAGGGGCTGTAGGGTGCTGCTCCTCCTGACATGGCACCCTGGTTGGGGAGGTGCAGTGCAGGTATCTTCCATGCATCTCCTCACTGCAGTCCAGCACTTGTGCAGTGACTCTTCTTGAGGCATGTGGCACCCTGCTCCCTGCACCCAATCTCCAGCTGGGACTCTGGTTGGTGCCACCCCCTCTTACCCAGTGAGAATTATCATATCCACCTCCACCCCATCAGCCACGCATCCTGGACCACCAATCCCACACCTGGCTCTCACCATTACGGTGTCACCATGGCTTGTGATGGGACATCTCCTGAGTCACCTGCCGTGACCCTGGTTCCCCACTGCCAACAGTTTAATTCTCTTAGAAAGTCACCTGCCATTTTCCTGCTCTGACAGCTCCAATGAGTTTCCATTGCATAGAGAATAAAGTCCAATTTTCTCGGCCTGGTGTGCCAGGTTTTTCTCAGTTCCGCTCATCTCATCTTCCTATCATTGACTCTGCCACACAGAATCTCTCATTGGAACCCACATGTATCTCCCTGCCCTCTAAGCCTGGCAGAATACCAACCCATGCTTCTCAACCTAGCAAACTCCTATTCATTTCACAAATCACAGCTCAAATATTAACTCTCCTTTATTATTTCTTCAGAATGAACCATGCCCTCCTCTGTGTTGATACCTTTTATAGCTTTATTTCAGTGCTCCTCACAATACATGGAAGTTATCTACCTATAAATGTCTTGTCTAGACTCTAGAGGCTCAGCATTTTATACTCCAGTTCTAGCACGGAGTACTGCCCTGTCACAGCACCCCCCACACACAAGCCCTGCTGCTCACAACTCCTGTGGAGGCCGTGGCTCCCAGACAGACTGTGTCCAGTTAGGCAACAGGAAGCAGAGAAGCCAGCATTGCAGAGGACCTAGACTCTCGCCTTTATCCTGGGTCCTAACTGTTTAACTCTGAAACAAATTCACAACAGCCCCACCCAGCAGGCTCATGGCAGTGAGGGGCCTCAGGGATGCCAAGGCAGGTGACAAAAACAGTGGTGTGGGAGAAAGAGCGCCCCCTGCAGCCAGAGGACAGGATCCCTAAGAAACACGGAGGGCCCCCAGGGCTCTGCAGCCAGGGGCAGAGGCTGATTGAGGCTCAGCGCTTGTCTAGTGTGTGCATGTCTTGGAGTTCCATCCCCAGCAGCCCCAAAAAGAAAACTAGGGTTGTTCTTCTTACTCAAAATGTCCAGGCACAGGACAGTGGACCCATGTCAGCTTGTCCTGCAGGAAGACCCAGTAGATGAAGACTGCACTTAGGGAAGGGGAAATCTGCCTTCCTAGATATTAAATAAAACTTCGCACCCTTCATACCCACGAGTCTACACTGGGAACAATGAAGACAAAACAATTTTAAAAGGGATTAAAACTCTGAAGCAAATTCCTTGACTTCTGTTATCAGCCTGCTGGGGTAAAAGTAACCAGACAGCCCACTGCAGGAGTGCATGCCTTTAATCCTAGCTACTCAGGAGGCTGAGGCAGGAAGATTACTTGAGCCCAAGAGTTCAAGGCCACGGGCAACATAACAACACCCTGTCCCAGAAACCCACAGACACTCAAACAAATTAATAAATGTCAGACCAAACAAGGGGCTGGAGCAGAAGTTTTTGAATATACACACTAGGATTGATAAGGCACTTACTTGGCATCCTGAGTTCCAACCCAGCGCCTTCCCCAAATCCAGGAATTGGAGATGTAGAATCAGCTAAAGACTTAAAGACCTGCAGCACTGAATGTAGCACCATGCGCACAAACTAAATCTGTTGCTCCTGAAATGAATTCAATGGTCCTACTGAATAGTACCCCTTTGTCTAAAACAGGTTTTCTGCGGTCCTCCCCTGCGTCTGGACGAGATTTCCGTACACCCCGTAAGGTCCTCGTACAGCAAGCCCAGCTCCTCGCAGTCCGCCCGTGGGGAGGCGCGGGGCCGACCCCCGGTGTCTGCACGGCGAACACGGTGAGCGTGGCCTTTGATCCCCGCCGCCCCAAGGCCACTCTGAGCGCGATCCGGGATTCGCGGCGTCCCATGCCTCCCCCGCGCCTGTTTTGAACCATCGATCAAACGCATCCGGGGACGTGTCGGGGCCCGCGTGCAGCCCGGACGGAAGCAGGCGGGGGCCGAGCCCGCGCTATAAGTGTCGCGGCCCGGCGGCAGCAGCAGGCGGGGACATGCGGGGCTTCGGGGCTTTGCTGCTGGCCGTTCTGGGACTCGGCGAGCTCTGCGCGCCGCTGGCCGCCCTGGTCCTGGACTTCAACGGCATCAAAAGTGCTGCGGACGCGCAGGGCGCGCGCAAGGTCGGTATAGGCTGACGCAGCCAGTCGCTGGGCGCGGGGCCCGGACGCCCCCAGCCCGGACCGGGTCCTCGGCGTCCACGCGCTCTGCAGGGGGGCAGGGCGGCCTCCAGGGGCGTGGCTCTGCCTGTCCGCAACCCGGGACTGAGCCACAGTTGGGAAGGTCTGGCAGGTGCCGCCTAGCCACGGCGGTTGCCGGACATTCTCCACGACGTGAAGTGGGTGTCACCGTCTGATCGGCCTCGCAGCCCGCGAACCCCCGAGTGCGCGCTTCCGCGCGGGGCAGCACGGCGCCTCGGGGCAGTCGCAGGAACCGCGGATACCGCAGCGCCCCCAGGCGCGCGGCGTGCGGGGACCGCGGGTGCAGACACCCGGTGCAGAGGAGGCGTGGGAGGGAGGCGGGAGCTCCGCCGCCAGGGCGGGCAGGCGGAAGGCAGCGCGATCCCGGGGTGTGCACAGCCCCGGGGTGACGGCCTCCGCGGGACGCGCGGGAAGCCCTTTTCGTCCCTTTTCCGTGAGAACGGAGGAAAGGAAACGAAAGCTTTCAAAGCTGCTTGGGGATCGGAGCCGGCGGGCGTCTCCGCAGAGAAGCCTGGTGGGCGGTGCAGAGCGCCGCCCAGCCGCCCTACCCACCGCGGCTGCAGCGCTCCCCGCTCCTCTCCGCAGGGCCCGCCGTGCGTGGCGGACGAGGACTGCGGCCCCCGGAAGGTCTGTGTAGCGCCGCGCGGGGAGCAGCGCTTCTGCGCGGCCTGCCGCGGGCCTTGGAGGCCGTGCCGGCCTGGAGCCTCGTGCTGCCCCGGGGCGCGCTGCGCCAACGGTGAGCGGCTCGGGTTCGGGGAGGGCAAGGGCTGGCGGGTCCCTTCCGAGCGCGCGCACCTCCGCATCTCCTTCCCTTGACGCATAACCGTGGGCTTCTGGCACTTACTCCCTCTGGTGGCCCTCTTCGCTTCGGTGAGCCCGTGAGTAGCCAGTGCACGTCCCGGAAACCACGGTCACTAGAGAAGGCAGAGGTGTGGCAGACGAACAGCGCTGCTCCGAAGGTCTAACGGGTCCGTCCGCCTGTGCCACAGATGCGTGCGCTCCCGGGGAAGACGCAGCCCCGGGGCTGGAAAGCAGGACTGACCCGCCAGGGGGCCTGGACGCCGCGGGACCCACTGAGCTCCCAGTGGAGGAGAACAAACCCAGGAGGAAGCCAAACGCCAAGAAACCACAGAGCGTCAAGGGTAAGGGCAGCGTGTGCGGCACTTCAGGGAAAACGTTCTCCACTCCGCCTCCTAAAATAGGCGGAGACCCACTTCTCTTCACCCGACACCGCGGGAGTGCATACTGTGTGAGGTCCGCGAGCCAGTGCGGGATCACCGTGCGCGCTGCCCGCCAGGAGAACAGGGAATCACCCGACAGCGCACCGCGAAGCCGGGAGCTCTTTTACTGTTAAGCTCAATTTTACACGCGCACGCTGTGCACTATCTATTAGCTGTAATTCGGCAAATCACAGTTTTCTTTCCTAGATCCTTGGGATACAAAATAGAGAAACAGATGCATTAACTATTCAGCTTTGTACAACGTTTTCTTCTTTTTCTTTTTTTTAAACTAAATTGTTTCAAATTCCAGTCCAGTGAACTGGCCTCTTACAAGTAAATGTGTCTCTTTGTAGGACCATAAACTCCATTTAATAAATTGTTGCCAGGTGACATTATTTTCATTTCTCAAGACTGGAAATTCCGTCTTTCCTTGATGAATGTTTTAACTTCATAAGAAGGACAAATCCTGTTATGTGGGGCTGGAATTTCCACTTCCTTAATGATTTCAGCATGAGGCCTATCTCTAAGGGCCGCGGGCTGTCTTCATTTTTACCTTAGCCTTCAGTCCTCTACCCCTGGCCTCATTTCAGGAGCAGCCCCCGGTGTGTTTCTCTCCTTTGTCACTGAGCCTACCTTAATCTTGTTACAGGACAAGAAGGAGAAAGCTGTCTTAGAACTTCCGACTGTGGCCCTGGTCTTTGCTGCGCTCGTCATTTTTGGACTAAGATCTGTAAACCAGTCCTGTTAGAGGGACAGCTCTGCTCTAGGAGAGGCCATAAAGATACTGCGCAAGCCCCTGAGATCTTCCAGCGCTGTGACTGTGGTCCCGGGCTAGCCTGTCGAAGTCAAGGCAGCTGGCAACATGCAAGGTTAAAAGTATGCCAGAAAGTACAAAAAGACGCAAACGCGTCACCATAAAGAAGGCTCCTCATCGTGTTCAAGCAGGATCTTGTGCACTAACTTTGAAGTACTTCTATATAAATATGCCCTAAAACCTAATCTAGCAACAGGGGCAGACTGAAAGTCCATGGCCTTCAGACCCCTCGAACCCCTGGCGTGGTTCTCCTTTGTCACCGAACCTGTTACAGGATAAGGAGAGTAACATGTTCCGCTGTTAGGAGTGGAACCTAGCTTTGGTTTGTTTGGGTTTTGTTTTGTTTTGTTTTGTTTTGTTTTGTTTTGTTTTTGGCTAAAAAAACAAATAAAATGGATGTGATTCTACAAGAAAAACTAACAAAAAATTAGTCTTGAACTACTTATAGTTCAAATAAAATACTTTAAAAATTACATATTGTTAAAATGTACAAGTTTGTATATCCCTCCCCACAAATCTTCTAAGTAATTTCTGCCCTAGTATAAATTACTGATAAAGGGCTAGTACCTGACAGTCCTGGTACCTGGAATTAAAAGTAAATGGTGGCTAGGAATGTTCTCACCTTGTGTGCACAAGTCTCTGGGTTCAATCCCCAGTCACACAAAAACATTTTAAAAAACGTAAATGAATTCCTGTAGCTTACCAGGGAAAATTATGTCAGTAAATACCTTTTATTCTTTAAAAACTATTTGCTTTCATTTCTTGGATGCAAAATCACATTTCCCATGAAAGACTTTGAATACTGAAGAAAAAGACTCAAAGGCAATGTTAGGTTTAGACAGTCCTTTATAAGTTACAAAGCATTTTTACATAGTTTTCAATAACTACTTACCAGTGATAACTTTTTCTTCTCTTTTTCCTCAGATTTTATTGATACATTTTAGGTATACATAATGATCACATTCATCATAGAGAATTTGTACTTGTACGTGATATAACTTGTTTTTCCCATTCCTCTACCCTCTCTTTAACCCCTCTTTTCCCCATTTACAAAAGTTTTGTTTCCATGTTTTCCTTCTTTTCTCATTTTTTTAATGTTCCCACTCCCCTCCCCTCCCAATTTGAACATTTTCTATCTAATATCTATTATACATTTTGATCTTTATTTACACTTTTGGTTTCTCACACCAGAGAAACAATGCAGTATTTACATGTGTGTCCAGTTTTATTCATCAAGTATATGGTCTCAAGCTGTAGCCATTTTCCTAAAAATGTCTTGAGCATATCCTTCTTTATAGCAGAGTAGTACTCCATCAAATAAAGAACCCAAATCTTAATCCATTCACCAGTTGATAGGCACTTGGGTTGTTCCCAAGATTTAGCTATTGAAATTGTGCTCCTAAAAACACAGGTGTGCATATATCACTGCAGTACAATGATTGCAGTTCTTTTAGGAAAATAACCAGAATAATAATATCTGGATCAAATGGAAACTCGAGTCCTAATTTTTTTAGCAAATTTTCCTCTGATTTCCAGAGTGGCTGCACCAGTCTCTGTTCCCACCAACAGTGGAGAAGTGTTCCTTTTCCCCCATGGCCCCTCTAGCATGTGTTACTGATTTCTTGATAATAGTTATTCTTCTGGAGTGAGATGGAATCTCAGTGACCAGTGATGAATGTTTTTTCATTTGGTGTTTGTACTTCTTCATCTGAGAAGTGTGTGTTCATCTCAGATGTCTGTTAGAGTTTTCCAGTGCAATAGAGCAGAAGGAAAGAAACTGTCCTTTATTGAGGACGTGGAAGGAGCACACCATTCGTGGGGTAGGCTATTTTTCTTCTGAGACACACATGGCAGGAGGTCTCATGATCTTTGACCAGAAGCAGCACTTGGGGAAGGCACTGATGATGTGCAAGGAACTGACTGGAATTCTCTTTGTGCACACGGGACAGGAAAGATGAAGTTGTCATTGGGGTGGTGGAGGAGGTGGAGGAGGAGGAGGAGGAGGAAGTGGTCATCAGGATAATTGTTTTTGCTTTACCTTCCACCATGTTAGACCACTGCCATAATGTCCAGTAATTTATACTAGGGCAGAATCCTTTCATTCTCGTCTTTATGTTGTTAGGAGAGGAGGACAAGTCTGTTTACTAGTTGGGGACATTGTGTTGAGGGTCAGGAGTATTGACAGGATGACGGTACCAAGTGTTTCAGCCTGGAAAAGGAGTTCCTCGTTGCTGAAGGTTCACATCCTAGACTGGAGAATTAAAAAGGCAAGGCAGACTTCCAGGAGAACATGGCGGACAGATAACAGCAGCTACGGAGGCTCTCTGAAAGACTCAGCTTAGAATTCAGGAATAGTGCGGAATAAGGAGTCATAAGCAGGTGGAGATATGTTCTGCTGACCCAGGAACGAACTGGGCTGAGAGAAACCAACTTGGAATGCAGTCCTGGTGCTAGAACAGGAACAGAGGGGCCTCAGTGTGGAGGCTGGAGCCCGCACCATTGGAAGCCGCAATTTGGGTTTCCCGCCGCGCGGCGGCTACATCTACATCAGCTTGGCAGGGAGAGAGACCTGAGAACGGGAATTGGGAATCGGCGAACGGAGTCGAAAACAGGACGGGCGGGGAGCTGTGCATTGACTTGCCGTGAGGTGAGTGAGAGAAACTGACACTCTTCCACAGTTTAATGAGACCCCAGCAGAAGACATTCTGGGACTGGGCAGACTTGCAGGAGCAGGGCGCTGCAGCAACTTCAGCCACGTATCCCCCTCTCAAGCGGGATTAGTGAGAAGTGCCTGGCCTACATGACACTGCTGGCAGCGACCCAGTAGGTTAGCACAGCCCAGATCCCAGAACCTGAGGGTGGCCTGGAGGGGCAGGCCCCGCATAGGCTGCCTGATCTGCAACTTCTTGGTGTGCTGCGGTGGGCGGGAACACCTAGCCAGCGCAATTCAATCAGGCTGTGGCTGACAGGGAGGGAAGCTGGGCCTCCTATATACGCTTGCCTATATAAGGAACAAAGAATATGGGAAGAGGCAGCAACAAGAAAGGCTCCTCGGCCCCCAATCCTGAGAAACAGGCAATAGCGGACACCGCACCAATAGACATAAAGTGCCATCTAGAGCCTCATAGATCAGTTCAGTAATGAAGTTATTAATGACCTGAAGCTAGAAATAAGCAGAATAGCTAGAGAAATGCTAAGCACCACCCAAGAAAAAACAGATGGTGGAATGGAAGAACAGAAAAAGAGGGGAGAATTGTTTGATGGAGAAAATAGAGAAAGCATAGAATACGTGAAGCAGGTTCAAAGAGACTACCAGGAAACTAAAAACTCTATCGAAAACTGGCATAACAGCTTGAAAGAAACTAAGGACAGACTATCTGAACTGGAGGGCAGATTTGTAATATGGGAGAATGAAATGAAAAACTTCTTAAAAGTAACAAAGAAACAAACAGCAATAATACAAAGACTAGAAGATGATAAGAGGATCCATAACTTAAGAATTAAGAACCTAAAAGAATAAATAGGGACACAAACAAATGAGCTACAAAAGCTACTCACAGAAATAATCCAGGAGAGTTTTCCTAATTTAGCAAAAGGTAAAGATACTCAGATGTATGAGACATACAGGACCCCAGCCACCTACAACCCAAACAGAGCAACACCCAGGCATATAATAATAAAAATTCCAGAAATTCAATACAAGAACAGAATATTAAAAGCTGTCAGAGACAAGAAACAGACCACTTACAAGGGAACACCCATCAGAATTACAGCAGATTTCTCTGCCCAAACCATCAAATCACGAAGAACGTGGGGGGAAATAATTCAAACTTTGAAAGATAATAATCTCCAGCCAAGATTGATATATCCTGCACAACTATCCCTGGAAATTGATGGAAAAACAAGGTGCTTCCAGGATAAAGAGGAACTAGGGGAATATGCAACCACCAATTCAACTCTACAGAGAATACTGCAGGATATTCTAAAAAAGAAAAATACAAAGAATCCAGAAATAGTGGCAGAGAGGCCACAATGAATGGAGCAGAAAACAAAATGAAGAAGACAAACTGACAACTAATGACAGAAAAAGAGCTCAACAGAAAAGAGGCAGAGAAGATTGGATGATAGGAACAGCTATTTTGGAGAAAATGATGTCTTAATAGGTAATACTGATTTAGTATCATCTTGTTTTGAAGTCTCATCAAGCTTTTGTTCTTCTGTCTCCTTTGGTCTAAACAGGTTGTATCTTATTGGATTTTATTATGTACGATAGTATAAGCAAAAACTTTTAAAGACAAGGAGATTATACAGAAACCATTGTTCATTTTATGTTAGTTGACTATAAATACCCTGTAATGCTGTCATTCTCTTAAATGGTTTTACATTGTTTTACTATATTTGATGCTATAGTATACGAAGTTATACTCAAAGATTTCAAGGAAAGTGACAATATGGTAACTACTTTTATGTCAGGATTATCTTGTGGTGAAACACTATTCTGCTTAAATAGTTATGTTTTGATCTGCGCTGTTTTGCTGTTATGCCCTCTTTTATCTCAATCTCCACTTCATTATTTACTTTTTTATTTTTATCCTTTTAATTAAAGGAAAAATAAATAAAAAATAGCAGGATATATTATAGTAACCCACTTTGACTTTCTATTATCTTGATTTAAAGTCCTGTATTACTCTCACCATCTTGTTTTTGACTGATGTCCCCCTATTCTGTTTTGCTTGATAGTACCAGGTTCGAAAGTTTAGGCAACAGCTGTGAAGATAGTGAGATTCATTATGACGCCCATTCTCGTTGATTTTTATCTACTTTTGAAGACCTATAATGTCTCCAATGTTTTGGTTTTGTCAGTTTTGTTCTTTACTGTTTTGTTCAATTTTATTGTGACTGATGATATAGGCAAATCTATTAGAGATAGCGGGAGGCATTATGGTACCCATTATTGATCACCTTGTATTATGCTTTTACAATATCTATTATGTCCACCCTTTTGATTTGATTGACTCTGTTCTGTTATGTCACATTTGGTTCTACTCCCTTCCAAAAAAGTAATAAGAACTGTGGGAGCAACAAAACCCAAAATGTGTAATTGTCATTGTACAAAAGAGAGGAAAAGAAAGTGCTCTAAATGATATACCTGCATGTATATTTAAGTGTATAAGATAGAAAATGATATCACTGAGTTTTATTGGATCATTGAACGGAACTGTTTGCAGTCTCACTGTTGGAATGTCCACTTTACAAGCTTTAATTTTGTGACTTGAACAATTATTTCGAGGATGACAATATGTAATCCATTAACTAGTGATTTCCTGTTTATTTTTTTCTGTAAATCTGTATAACTTGTACCCTTTCTCTGCTTTTTTTTCTCCTTAAATAAAATTAAAAAAAAAAAAAAGGCAAGGCACAATGAGGAGGCAGGCCACTATCATAATTAAAGGACCCAGGACAGGTAGAAGGGAAGGTGCCCATGATCTGAATGTGTTATTCTACCAGGACCATGGTGAGGAACAATATTTCTAGCTTAACTGACAGACTGGCAAATTACTCCATTTTGGTTAGGTTTTCCCTTATCCCAAGTTTGGCATAAGGTCTAAGGTGACAGTAAGGGAATCTGAACATTGACAGTGGAGTTGCGATGGGGTGAATTATGGGAGGCAATTATTCCCCCACCTGAAAGGGTAAAAGTATAGGTAGGATGTCCTTGGCGAGGGGTTGAGCTGGAGAGAATGGGAAGCATGAGAAATGTAAGGCTTGACAGTTGAATCATGTTCGGGAAATTACAGACAAGGGGTGGGGAAGCTGTGACTGTCGCTGTGAGATGAGAGCCCAGACTCAGAAGGGTCTCCTGTTTAACTAATAGAATGTATAGGATCAGGAAACAGATAGGGCAACAAAACATGAGTTAGTCTGAAAGTTGTGGCTGTGGGCCCTTGGTGAGGTGGAGACAGGTGGGATAGGAGATGTGATGATCACTCAGGATGTTTGGAGTCCAGGTAGCTAGCATTAGGAGGTCACCACTCAGCCTGAGTGACATGGAACCAGAGTGGCAGTCCAGCAACCTTGACTGCCATAGGAGTTGCGAGGAAGACCAGGAGGGTACCCCTCCACTTTAGTTGCAGTCCTGTGGATTTAGAAGATTTAAGATAGTTTAGGTCTCCGGGGAATATGGGAGGATCTGGTTTGTTCTCATCAGAGGGTTGGGGACGACAGAGACTGGCATGCTGTTGTAATGTGTCAGAGGAAGGAGTGAATTGGGATGTAGTCAGCAAGAGGAGGGAGACTTTGGGAGAAAGGTAGGAAGATAGTGGACTAGGAATGGTTGGCCATACTTGAGTTTAAAAGGGCTTAGAAAGGTAGGAGGAGGGGGAAAGTGCTCTGAGTTTGGCTAAGGCTAGGTGAAGGAGGTAGGGCCAAGATTAGTGTAATTCTAAAATAAGTTTTGTGAGGTGTGTTTTTATGAGGATTGTGGATGGTACGAAATGTGTAGGCATCAGGTGATGTGTAAGCTTGAGGATACCTGTTGAATGATTTGAGAAATAAAGGCTGGACCATTATCTGACAGGATACTCTGAGGTAGACCAAACCTGAGAATGATTTCTTGTAACAGGACTTTAGTAACGATGTGAGTAGTTTCCCTGGTTGTAAGAAAGACTTTTATCCATCCTGAAAAAGTACAAAGGTAAAGAGATATTCAAGAGTTTTGTGGTGGGCCATGTGTGTAAAATCTACCTGACAATCACGATGACATTTTGTAACATATTCGAATTTGCATTTTTGACATAAGCTATTCCCTTTATGGTCAGTCATCTCTACCTAATACATAAGAGGCTTTTACTTAATTTGGTATTTAATAGGATGTTATTGAAGAAATTTGTGACATTTGGTCTGCTCAGTGTTTAAGTATCTCTAAGTATAGTGGTACATATATAACATATATATTATACAAATTTTTGTTAAAAAATTATCATCTTACTGGTGACCTTGTTTGGTTTGACTTGAATCTCCTGGCTGAAGCACAAGAAAAAGGCAATGTCTGGAATTGAAAGATGATGTTCATCATATAGTTGAGATGATTTGTATACTTGAAGCATGAATATATTTAATATATCAAAAGATCAGCTATATTGAACTGTCTTAGCTATATGAAACTTTCATATTAGCATCTTTAAATCAAAAACCTTAATGTATTTTTAGTTAGGGTGTCTTCCATAAGACTATGGAGATTACTGGGGCCTCTGATTAATGAATTAAAACTGGTTAAAAATATTACCAGGCAGCTGCTTCCTTATTCATCAACTGCAGTCCTGTCTAACAATCCCAATCCTGAGGGATTTTGTTTAACCAATTTTAGCATCATTTTGACCAGCTGGCAACCCAGGTAGAAGCATGCTTTTTAAGTAAGTAATCCAAAAAAACCTTGATTAAATGATCTGAAAATGCAAAAGAAAAAAGAAAGAGAAAAGATTGTTGAGTGCAAATAAAAAAGAATATCTGTTTGTGGATATGACAAAGACATACATATATATAGATGATGTACAGATTAGACATAGAAACACAGTTTAACAGACAAATACTTTACATAATCATTGTGCACTCAAATATATTTGGCCAATTTGAATTTTAATAACTCTTCTATAGTTTTTACATTTGTAAATATAAATAAGAATGTTTTTATAGGTCAAGTAACAAAAATCTCTTGAAATAATAGATCCATGGTCATTTTTAATAGTATTTGTTCAGTATCTATGACTTACTTTCTCTCAAGCTGCTTGCCATAATTGAGCTTGCTCTTGTGAGCCGAGGGTGATGTTTAGAATCACATAAACATCCTTGAAGTGTAAATCATAACAATTAGTTATAAATTTAAATTCTCTAACATAAGTTTGGGGGTCAACAGAAAAGGAACTTAATTTATGGTTAATCTGAGATAGGTTGCTGAGGGAAAAAGGAACATGTCCCTAGTGTATATTAATCTGAGTTGGAGGTTGTTTTCCTTTAGGGCTTGAAATTCTTCACTCAGAGCTCTCCCTGATGGTTTTGTGTTAAGAAGTCAGCTGTGATTCTGATGGGCTTTCCTTTACAGGTGGTTTGTTTCTTTTTCTTTTCTTTCTTTCTTTCTTTTTTTTTTTTTTTTTTGTCTTTGTCATTTTTATCGGTACTGGGGATCGAACTCACGACCACCTGCTTGCAAGACAGGTGCTTATGCTGCTGAGCTAAATCCCCAGCCCCTGTTTCTTTTTTTTTTTTTTAAAGCTTTTAGTATTCTATTCTTGTGTTGAATTTGTAGAATCTTGACTATGATATGCCTGGCTATAGAATTTATTTTTTCAATCATGGCTAAATGGAGTTCTGTATACCTCACTTATCTGTATGTCAAATTCTTTTTCCTGCCAGGGAAGATTTCTACCATGGGGTTTGTGAACAGGTTTTTCTTTTTTTTTTAATATCATTTGTGCCATTTTCTGTTTTTTCACTGACTCCCATCATCTTATGTTATTCTTCTTTGCATTATCTAGCAACTGCTGGATTGACACATCAAGGACTTATTTACTGCATATAATACTAGAAAATTATATGCAGTAAATAAGTCCTTGATACATCAGTTTTACTCTGATGAGAGAAAATTTGAAAGGTTTTAGGGAAAAAAGTAGTTAAGTAGAAGAAAATAAAGATTAGAAGCAAGGATGGAAGACATGGGAATCATGCAAACTTTGGGAAACTGGTGCAGAACACAGGAGAGAAGAAAAGGAAGAAATAAGAGGATGAAAGAGAACCACAAAGAAGCTAGAAACCATGTCCATACTCACATTAAAAACAAGATCAAACTATGAAGGCAAAAAACAAGAGGAGAAAGGGAAAAAAATTGACTTCCAGGTTTGTCTGCTGTCACTGGTGGTACTGATTTAATCCAGCAAGCCAGCAATTAGCTTTAGGGTGGGGTAGTGGGTAAGCTCATCAAGCCTGCACCTTTATTTCCTCTGAAATTCAGGATGGATCTAGCAGCTGTTCTGAGTTCTGAGCTCAGCTGGCCCCTCTCCAAAACAGCTCCCAGCCAATCACTGTCCTGTGAGACAACTGTGCCCCCAGCACTCAGCCCCAGCTAGTGCAGTTGTCCAACTGTACTGCTGTTTGCCTTGGAGGCCTCTGGTGTCACAAGCAATCGCCATGTGTCTGCAGGCTGGATTGCTCCACCACCTTTTTCACTGAAGTCTCTCTCTTCACGCTTCCTGGGGGCTTCAGTTCCCACTGCAGATCTTTCCTGGCCCAGGGCACCCACTTCCTTCCTTCCTGTCATCCTCTCGTTGTTATATTCCAGTGCCTGGATGGTGACTCTCAGAGAGGCTGTTTCTCTGCTCCTTACACTCTGCCATCTTCCTGGAAGTCTTTTTTTTTTTTTTTTTTTTTTTTTTGTCTTTTTCGTTTTTATCGGTACCAGGGATCGAACTCATGACTGCCTGCTTGCAAGGCAGGCGCTTATGCTGCTGAGCTAAATCCCCAGCCCCTGGAAGTCTTTATAACTGCTTGTATTTTATATCTATATACTTTTTATGTTTAAAACCAAGCAATTTCCAGGAACATGTTTGTTTGTTGGTTTGTTTTAGTACAGGGGATTGAACTCACAACCTCATGCTTGCCAAGCAAGCACTTACATTACTAAGCTAAATCCCCAGTCCTTCCAGGAATGTTTTAACTTACATATTTTGATCATTTGTACATAAAAGTTACCTGGAAAAAAACTTAGAAATAAAATTTTGGTTTGTTTAAAGTTTAAGAGGCCATATTTTGTGCATATTAGAAGTGGTTTTGCTCAGGTAAACTCTTTCTAATGGATTCCAACCAAGTGCCACAGATTCTAATAAATAATCAAACACCTGACCTATTTAAGTTATACATATATATTACAAAATAGAATATAAGTCAAAGAAAAAAATTAAATCTCTGAAGCTTGCTAGTTTCTAAAAAAATCTTTCTAAAGCCATCTTCTAGTAGCTAGCCTCTGGGTATACCTCAAATGATTAATTTGTAATCAGCAGGAGGGAATGCAATAGAGTAATACAGATTATAGCATATGGCAGAAAATTAAAAAATAAAAATTTCCATTAAAATTTGCTATCATCTCATCTTTTGTTCCTCATTCCTGTACCTACAGTAAAGTATGATCATGAACATAAAATTTAAACTAAACACATATTTGTTAAGAAAATAAAATCATCCAGTAATAGTGCAAGAGGGTTTATTAACTAAGGCAAGCTAAGCATGAAGGAGAAATAATCAGTTAAAACACCAAACCCCCCTCCATAGCAAAGGTTAAGAAATAAATTAAGACTTCTATTGGGCTGTGCCCAGGAGGGAGAACAGACTCATTCACTTCGATCCTTAGGTTCTCGGTATTTCCACTGGATGTAATCAAAGATGTCTTTCTCGCTGTCCACAGGCAAGGGTTCTCCAGCAACTCCTGCACAGAAAGAAAGAGGCTAATTTTAAGAGCCAGTTGTGAGATTCAGATGCAGAGGTTCCCACGGAGAATTGAGAGTTGGTAGGGCCTGCTTTCAGAAGGAACAGAAAATAGTGAGCTGGTGAGGGCTATGGCTCAGTGGCAGAGCTCCTGCCTCATTCAGGCCTGGTCTCTGCCCTCAGTACTACAGAAACAGTGAGCGTGCCTCTAAACCCTGCTTCACTGCTTCCCTCCAGCCCCCTATGTGTTTGAGCTACATCACATCTCCAGGGCACATCAGCAGCCTGCATATCCCAATAAGGGCCCTGGAAGTCACCTTTATTCATTTTCCTCTTTCCTGGTCCTTGCCATGTCATGTATTACATAAAACACTCTCAATGGTTCTGGACCAGAACCACTAACATGGCTTGGAAGCTTTACATTCAGTCCCACTGAAGCCCACAGAACAGACTCTGCCTCTACCAGGGACCCAAGTGGACAGTGGATGTGTGCTGAATATAAAAAGCACCACTCTGGTGTACTGCAAACCAAAGCTCTGTGCTTTCAGTACAAAATACAAAACATTCATTCTCCTAGCAAAGAATAATAAACCATATAGTACATTGTAAAAGGTCAAAAAGATCCATAAGGCATCAATTTTCAGCAAGCCATATTCTTTAAACTTTAAGGCTTGGGATCACAGTTGCCCAGTTTTGTTTCATTTTGGTGTTAGGGATGGATTCCTATCATGGAGCCATGCTCTTACCCCAGATACTTGGTCTTAAGTGAAACTAAAAGCAATGGTAATTTGAGTTCTTCAGAAATCTTACAGATATATTGAAACAGATAAGCCCTTTACACCAATAAGATCTTTTCTTCTTCTTCTTCTTCTTTTTGTGGTATCCAGGGCTATCCCACCGAGTTCCCAGTCCTTTTTAAAATTTTGAGACAGGTCCTTGCTAAGTGGCTAAGTTGCCCCACTAGGCTCAAACTTGTGATCCTTCTGCCTTGGCCTCCAGAGTGCTGAAATGACGAGCATGCATCATCATCATGGCTGGCTGACCAATAAGATTTTTTAATGATAACCGTATGTAGAAATGAGCTTAATTCATTTTAGTAGGCTAGAAATAACTCTTGCCTTAATAGCCACCAAGTAAGGGCCTGGATGTGCCTCTTTTTGCAGGAAGGAGAAAAAAATATAGAGATGACAACTAACTGACATAGTCATTAAAAAGCTTTTTAGAGAAAATAAATTTGCTAACCCAAAATATCTCTGAAATATTTTTCTCACCATTATGTCAGGGATTATTTCTAAGGTAAACACACTCACCAGTGACTCCCAAGGGGCGGATGGTATATTCGTTGATTGTGAAGCCCTGTTCTAGGGCATGAGCTCTCATATTCTTATTGAAAATATCACTCCCAGTGAAGTAGAGAACACCACAGTAATACTGATCTTTGGGAATTAACCTACAAAAAAGATAGGCAACTATTTTACTACACATTTCAAATTTAGCAAGTATAGGATCCCTAATGTCTGAAAAGAACAAAATACAATACCTAAAATAAGTCTCTGACCTAATAGCCTGAAGAACACATTATTATTAGGTTGACTAGCACCTAAACTTGCATTGTCTTTGGTTTTGAAAAACCTGGCTCTATAAGAAGTATGCAGAAATGAAAAGCAGTGTGATTTATACACTAACTGTCCTTACACTTGAAACTACCCTTGAGGTGTGGAAGGCATCATTGTGAGATGAAAGTCTAGAGAAAGAGTCTATATATTGTCTTTCTTTACATATTTCAGGCTAAATATTTTTTTTGGTAGGAACATATGACTCTTCAGAATAAAACAGAGCTCTATGCACTTATGTTAACTTCAATACATACAGAGCGAGTGGACGAAAGATCTGAGGATGGAAAAGTAATAGTCTGAGAATACCTGATATCAATTCTTCTGTGTGGATATTCCTTTTCATCATTTTTAATGGGAAGTTGGCAAACACCCTAAAATGGATATTTTAAAGAATGTTTAAAGTTTTTAAGCATCAAGCTTAGTTTTAATCAAATCTTGAACATGAGTCTACTTTTGTCTTTTACAGTAACAGTTTTAGAATTCTAAGCATTTCAAATGAGTATCTTTTCTACTTACCACAGGTTTCCCATTACACTTTATGATAATTAGAGAACTACATGTAACAGCAGACAGGGATTCTAGTTATAAGAATTTGGTCTTTATGTGACCCTAAACAAATTAATCAAGGGAAGCATTGAACATGAAGCAGAGATGAAACAAGAAAAACTTGAAACAATGGTCTGGAAGAAAGAAGAAAACAAACAACTTAGTACAAATATTCCCACAAAATAGAAGATAATATGACCCATTAATCAGGGGCAGGATACTACAGAAAACACGTGTGTAGGAAAAGCTTAAATGTGATAGCAAAAGTAGAAGAGTTTGAAGAGATACTTCAAAAATCTATCTGATAGATAAAAATTAAAAGATAAGAAAATTAGAGGATAATTTTCTTCCTTTCCTATAGGTACATTTTCATTATACTTCCACAATTTTCAAACAAATATTACCAGTCCATCTTGTCATTTTTTTCCCTTTCCAGAAAAATAGGCAAAATTTCTGGGCTGGGCAGAAACCCATGCATGTGGGAAAAGAGCTTCCAGAAATCACCAAACTTCAAGTTAAAAGTACCTAAAATCATTGGAGGAAAAATACACAAACAGCAGGCTTTGGATCCTAAGGGGTATCAAATTAATACACACATCAATAAAAGCCACAGTCTTCCACTTAAGAAAATAGAAAAATTAAAATAATTTAAAAATAATTATTATTCATTTTTTGTTTTGAGACAGGTCTCTGCATAGTCCTGTCTTGAGCCTACTATGTGACCTAGGCTAGCCTAATTGAAATAATTTTAAAATGAGTATTTTATTTAGTTGTTTCCATGGCTGAAAAACTACCAAAACATGTTGATCTTCAAAATATGAAACTCGTCTTCTTAGGAATCACTTCTATTTGCAAGTGAGTCACAAAGGGTTCCATGTGGAATTACTTGTGGATAGGGGCGCTTGGATACTCACAAGCCATGGTCTTGCCATCTGTCACGTCAGTATCAGGATTTCATTTAGGACTATTTTTTCCTCAGGAAATTTTATTTCCTGAACTTTTTCTGAACTGCTAATGTTAAAAGATTTCTCTGTATTACTGTAAAGTCTTAGATTGAATGGATTAGTTTTGTTTGCCCTTTCAGTTCTGTAGCTTCATGCTGAGTATCTGGAATAAAGCCTGTCATTTCCTTAGAGTCGTTAAGGTATCTTCTTCTGTCCCTTGAATTGTTTCCATAGCTATTCCACGGAAAAGTCATCCAAAGTCAAATATACTAAACCATGAATGGTAGCCACCTTATATAAATGTAACAGACAATTAAAGCAGAAGAAATGGTTTTTTTTTTTCTTCCTATGTTTTAATCAAGAGGAAAAAACAGCTCTATGTAAAAGGCATGATTTTTATAAGACTACCTGGAATAACCCTGTCCTAAGGTTCAGCTGCAATGAGCAGAAGGGAATCTATGTTTTGAAAATGACTTACATATATATAACTTTAAAACTAGTCAGTGGTTAAAGGAACAAAGGTTTTAGAATTAAGTGTAGATGGAATGCTAATTTTTTTCCTTCTCTATAACCTGCATTTACTTTGCAGTCAATCTCCTTTCAGAAAGCTAGAGACCTTAACTTCTTTGTACACCTCTGTCCCCTGCACAGAGGCTCTAAGGGCTGTCATCCTCTTGATAGGTACTTCCTGGCTCACTGCCTTGTATCAATGCTTTCTCTGAATCCCATTCTCTTAGGAGGCTTCCCCTGTGCACCCTCCTCCACTTCCATCTCCCGCAATCCTGCTCTTCCTTTTTTCATGGCACTGACTACCACCTTCAGCAGACATACTAAGTTTACCTATTTATGTTCATTGTTAACCATTAGTCCCTTCCCCAATCGCCAAATGTAAGTTCTACCTATAGAATTAAAATCAAATTAAATTTTAAAAAGGAGGTTCTTGGGCATTTGCAAACCCTATTTTTAATCAGGTGTATATACTATTGGGCACAGAATAAAACCTCAAAACCTGAGAGTCAAAAGAACAAAGCATAAATTTCATTTCACAAAGACGGATAAGAACTTTTTTTAAAATCTTGCCTGAAGAAAGTTTTTCCAAAAATGCTGCTGAAGTATGATGAACTTAGGGGAAACACTTTCACAGCCCATTAAAATCACAGTGTTCAACTTAAGACTGTATGCACGGGTGTGTGTGTGTGTGTGTGAACATGCATAACACTGACCACCTCAACCTTGTTTACTCACCTTAGCTTCTTCTAAGTGCACAGTCCCATAGCAGTTGTGCACCCTCACCACTGTGCAACCATAACCATCACCCATCTGCAGAAGCCTTTCATCACCCCTGAGACTCACTTCCTCCTCTTCCCAGGCCTACCACTACAATACTGCTTTCTGAAGGACTCAGACACCTTTTCTAACTTTTAGCTAGCACTCCTGTCAAATCTGCACATTCTGAAACTCTTCAAATCCTTCGCAAGTCCACACCCCAGAGCATGGTTCCTTTCCTATCAGTCATGTGACTCAAGAAAGGTGGGGCAGAGAGCAGAGATCCAAGTGAAGCATCAAGTTAAGAACAAAGATAAGTCTAAGAAGAGTCTTGATCCTAAGTTTCTACTGGCTTTCCTGTTGGTTATTACACAGGGCCATTTACCTGGTTTTATTCACTTGTCTTAAGTTTTTAAATCTCAACGCAGTAGGAAATCCACTGGATTCTAAGAGCATCATGATGCTTCCCAGGAAGCCTGGGCCAGCACCCCACCACCTCCCTCTTATCATCCTATTATCATAGTTCTTCTGGGTGTTAGTTTATACACCCCAATATCTCCTCTTTTGGGTGTGGATTAATACTCTTTAGTCACTTCTAATCTCACTGAAGAACTCTGGGTTAGACAATGCAAGAGTGATTTGCTATATTTTCAGGAAAAACTTGCTGTATATCGGAGTCATTGTGGATTTTTTAAAAAAGAGAATAAAACCAAACAATGAAACAGAATAAAGCCAATCAAAACAAACAAAACACTGAAAGTGATATAGGACTTCAAAACAGGATAATAGGAAATCAACAATGTCTACCATAATGCCTCTTGTTATCTTCAAAACTGCTGCCCATACCATCAGACATAATAAAATCAAACAAGGGGCCAGGATATAGCTCAGTGGCACAGCACCTGCCTGGTAAGAGCAAGGTCCTGAGTTCAATTCCCAATACAAAAAAATCAAAACAGATCAGAATAAAACCAATCATAGTAGAACACTGAATAAAACAAAACAATAAAACAACAAAACAGTAGTATTAGAACTTCAAAAACAAGACAAAAGGAAATCCTCCATATTTACTATATTGCATATTGTTATCCTCTTAATACATGCTCAGATTACAGGCCTTAGGCCTACAAAGTCAATCAAACAATACAAGTATTAAATTATTTTTGTATCTAAATTGCTATCAATTCAGCCTGTCCTCCAAATTAGCAGGTTGTTTACACAGGGCGGCGGGGGGGGGGGGGCAGTCAGGGAAAGTGGTATTCTTGTCTGCTAGCCCACGTGCTGTTGGCTCATAGGAAAGGAGAATTAGCTTCTTATTTTTCCTCCCAGGCCCAGCATTGCTTCTGCCAACTTATAGGAAGGGAAAAATAGCTTGTTTTTCTTTCCAGGCTCCACATGGCTTGCACCAGCTCTCCAGAATTTCATATAGCTTCTTGTTTCTCTTCCCAGGACCAGCATGGATTCCCAAATTTTTTTTAAAATGTGAATTATAGTTATTTATTGTGAAAGTATACTTACAAACAGGAGTTTAAAACAAAATTTTTTACTAAACTATTGTGAAAATAGCTTTGACATTCTGGTATCCTAATTATTTTCCCTTAAGGCCTCAGAGATGTCCTATTCATTGACACTGACACAAAGCACAATGAAGTCACAAACTCTTGATGGTTATTCACAGTCTCTAGCAGTTTTTTTAGACAGGTTAACTCAAATGAATACTCACCATAAACTTGGTTTCACCCTTTGAAAGAGTATCTGTAATAAAATGGACCTTTTGTAATTGTTCCACAACACGATGTAACAGCTTTGGCTGTAGAATCATAATCAGGGAATAAGAACAAGAGCTGTGATAAAAAAATCTTGCCATGATAAAAAAAACACAAAGAACAAAAACCCTCTTTTTGGGGGGATGTTGGGGATTGAACCTAGGGCCTTATGCTCTACCAGAGTTCCAGCCCTAAAACTATTTCTAACACTAGTTTTCAGATTTTCTACACAGAAATCTCTGTTTTAATTTTTTGGCTGTTGGTTTCTTTTTCATGCTAGGTATTGAACTGGTGACTTCACACATCACATCTCTGCCCTGACTGTACCCTTAGAACTCTTTGTTCTTGTTAATGTTCTTCGTAAGTATTTTTCCCTTCATCTTGTCATATGAAATATATTTTTAGAAACCAGTTTTCACCAACCTCATGATGTCCTAAAATAAACATAATTTGTGTATATATGATTCATTAAATTAAAGAGTTAGCTGCTTCACTGTTTGTTAATGGTTTATATATTCCAAAATCAATTATGTTTTTGCCTTCATGAGTTTTCTGATAAAAATAAAGTTTCTTGGGGGAAAAAATAAAGTTTCTCAATATGTATTTAACAGAAAAATATTCCCTTAGTAAAAATCTAATACTACACTTAATATTTCTGAAATGGATATTGATAGACTATACAAAATCATGAGAATATTTAATTAAATTTCATGTCTTTCAAATGTTAGACTGTCCTCTCAGTTCCCCCCAGAAGAATCATGTGTATCCTTTCCAGAACTTAGAACACCGCATTGCATTTTCAGAATGATTAAAATAAACTTTACTGTGAAAACGTCCAACTATCATTTAGAAAATGGTATTTGCTGCTGCATTGAAACTAATCACACAAGTCACAAACTCTGAGGTACCTGCTTGTTTGATTCGGAAGTGAAGTTTGCATGGGTCAGAAGAACATCCATGTCACCACTGGATTCTGCACCTAGGACACCAAAAAATATGCATGGAGCACTCTGTGAATTCAGGCCAACACTGAACTAAATAAAGAATGCACAGAAGAGTCTTACTTCTTATAGCCAAACTTTCTACTTTGCTGGGCTTCATATTCACAATTACTTAAAAAATTTCAATTTTCTCTGCAATTATGAAGCCATACTAATAGAGACAGCAGAAATTGGACAATAACAGTAATTAGCATTAGACATAAATTACATATAATTTATTACTGTGTTAGAAATGTACCTAATCACTCAATAATAAAAGTAATATTTAGAAACAGCTTTAAAACACATGTACTGTGGTGACTGGCAAGAAAGGGGTCTAAGACCAGCTCCCTTTCCACCAATGACCTAGAGCTATGGCAACAGGCAGGAAGGGGTTGGACACTGGCTCCTGTTCCCACCATGATGGGACTCAGGGACCAGAGACCAGCACTCAAAAAGTCAGTGATACAAAAGGACCCAGGCTAGAGTGCACCTGACGGACAGATGGGACTGGAAGCACAGAAAAGTCCTAAGCAACAGTAACAATATGAACCAGCAGATGTAAGCTGGGTGAACCAACAAAGACCCGTGGAATAGAAGCGGGCTGGTAGTTCTTTTCTTTTCGTTTCTTTTTTTTTTTTTTTGGTACCAGGGATCGACCCTTATACGCGAGACTGAGCTAAATCCCCAGGCCCTTTTCTTTGTATTTTAAACAGCTGGGGAGAACTCCAGTCACAGAAAACTAATTTCTTTCTCCAAATCCAGAGACAAAGATCAGACCAAATCCCTGCACAAATTCACCTGCAATCTTGGCTAGTGCGCACATTCTAGCATCACACTTGAACCTGCTGTGGAACTGTAGACATTAAAGAAATCTCACTATTTTTATTTTTCTCTAATGGGTTTTCCTCTTGGTAGTCTGCTGGGCAAGTGTGTTTGTTTTACTGTTTATTTTTATTGTAGTTTGGTTGATGTTGTTTTTTTTGTTTGTGTTCTCTTTTTCTCTGTCTTGCCATTTTTTCAATGTTTTTTCCCCTCTGTGTGTGATTATTTGTTTCCTGGTGTTTTTCCCCTTTTCTTTTCCTTCTTTTTTCTATCTTCTTGTTCTTGTTCATGATTTAGGTCTCTAAACTTTCCCTTTGTATTATTCCACTTGTCCTGACTCTGTTTCATCAACTATCTCACTTGATTTAATGAGCCTTTCATGTGGGTAAACACTGTCTCTTCCTTTTCTGGTTCACTTCAATACTCCTGTGTTTTCTCTTCTAATCCCTGCTTCTCATATCCTACAATTACCCAAAACTTGGATGATCATCCTTTGTCCACCAAATTTTTTCCTACTGTATTTAACCCCATCCACCTGTCCACCCTACTCCCTATCCTTCTTAACCACTCTCCCAACACTCTCAACAGGGTAAAAATCACTCAACTAAGTGGACAAACATTGCATACAAATTCCTGGTGTAAGTTGGATTATATTACATAACTATAGAACTTGTTCCTATGAGTAAAGTTGTCAGGCTGATAGTTATCACAGTTTCAGTAGCCAGACTCTGGTTGAGCTTATTGTTACTGCTAACTGTACTACTTTAACCAGGATGCCATACCTATTATGATCAGTTTTTTCTCCCCTGTATGCCAGCACTGAGATTGCAAGAAGCCATATCCATCACCAAAGTCCAGTGCCAAAGGAATACATTCTCAGCCAAAAAGATAGCAGCTCTACATTCTTAATATAGTGGGAAGGTAGGATCTAGTAATAGACAAAAGAACAAGAACACCTATATGTATAAGACATCCTTGAGGAAGAGACAATGCTTAGGAAAGCCTTGATACCAGGGATAAAGCTATCTAACTCTACGGGCATCAAGATAGAAAACAAAATAGAATTTAAAAAATAGAAAATGATAGGGGCTAGCGATTTAGCTCAGCAGCATAAGCACCTGCCTTGCAAGCAGGCAGTCATGAGTTCGATCCCTGGTACCGATAAAAAAAAAAAAAAATAGAAAATGACAACAAGAAGAAACAAAATACAACCCCAAATGCCCAACCTCCTCAGGACAGGTTCAGAGCTCAAAAGGGACAGAGGAAATCAGAAGCCAACCACTAGAACTCTCTCAAATGAAAACAGCAGAAGTGAAAAGACAAATGGAAGAGGCTATAGTAAAATAATACCTAAAGCAATGACAATCAAAATGAAAGAAATTAAAGCAGACACAGATAAAAAAAATAGAGAAGATTAGGAAAACAAAGAAAACCATGAATGCCCAACATAAACAAGAAATGGAGTCAATGAGACAGACCCAAACAGAAATCCAGGAGATTAAAAGTTCCACTGAAAGTATATGCAACAGAAGACCCAAAATACTCCATTAAAAGACTACTAGAGTAATAAATTCAGCAGTGTAGCTGGATACGAAGTCGATGCTCAAAAATCAATAGCATTCCTGTACACAAAAAACTCACTGAGAGAGAAAATAAACAGATTGCATGAAGGCAAGGATAAAGTATCAGACCTAGAAGACAGGAATGTGACTAGTAACCAGGAAAAGACAAATATCTTAAAAACAGCAAAGGATCATGAAAAATCAAACCAACAGTTACAAGATAAAGCAAAGAAGTAAAACAAAAAAGATTGACTGGAGTCAGTGAGAAAGCTGGAGACAGCATTAATGCCATTAAAAACCTCTTCACAGAGATAATGGAAGAAAACTTCCCAAATATGAACAAAGAATTTGACCTACAAATAAATGAAGCATACAGAAGCCCAAATAGCCATGACCAGAAGAAAACTATACCAAGGCATATAATAATCAAGATTCCAGAAATTCAATGCAATAACAAAATATTAAAAACAGGTAGAGAAAAGAAACAGATCACCTGTAAAGAAAAGCCCCTCAGAATTACAGCACATTTCTCAACACAAACCCTCAAATCAAGGAGAGCCTGGACTGAGGTATTTCAAGCCCTAAAAGCAATCAATCTTCAATCCAGAATGATGCAACCTGTAAAACTATCTTTCAGATTCAACAGAGAAATAAGGTAATTCCATGACAAAGAATTGAAGGAATTCAAGACCACCAAACCAGCATTACAGAATACTCTAAAGTATATATTAGAAAGAGATAATGAAGACCACACACTCATGAACACCAATAGAAACCACCAAGAAGGGCAAGCAATTAAAAAGAGGAGAAAAACAGGGAACCAACAGCAGGAAAATAACATGAAAAAGATAAGCTAATATACATTATAACCATCAACTCAGCAAACAAAAGAAACAGACTGGCAGAATGGATCAAGAAACAAGATCCATCAATACACTGCACTTAAGAAACACATTTAACCCCAAAACAAATTCACAGACTAATAGTCAAAGGAAGGAACACAATCTTCCATGCAACAGGAACCCAGATAAAAGCAGGTAGCTATTCTATCCTCAGAAGTGTAAAATTTAAGCCAAAACAGATCAAAGTGACAAGGAAGGTCACTACACACTCATTAAGGGAAAACTCACAGAAAACAGTCATAAATAGATATGCACCAAACACTGGTGTACCCAACTACATAACACAAACATTAACAGATATGGATAACCAAAAAAGCCCTAACATTATTGTAGTGAGGGACCTTAATATTCCATTCTCATAAATAGATAGATCAACCAGACCAAAACAAACAAACAAAAAAACAAAGAAATATCAGAATTAAACCAAACCTGTGAACAAATGGACTTGGCAGATGTTTAAAGAGTGTCCCACCCAAAGGCATCAGAATACATATTCTTCTCATCTGCATGTGGGACATTCTCTAAATAGACCAAATACTACAACACAAAACATATTTAAGTAAATGTACAAGAATTGAAATAACTACTTGCATACTACCTGATAATAACACAATGAAACTGGAAATCAATAAAAGAAACCACAAAAACTGCATGAATACATGGAAATCAACACACTTCTGAACAACTAAAGGATCACAAAGAAAATGAAATGCAAAATTATACAGTATATACAATTAAATGACAATGTCAATACTACATGCCGAAACTTAGGGGACACAATGAAAGCAGTCCTAAGGAGGAAATTTATAGTAATAAATCCTCTCATCAGGAAAACAGAATGAACTCAAATAAACAATGTAATGTTGAACCTCAAAAAGAACAAATCAAATTCAAAGCTTATATAAAGGAGAAAATTATAAAGAACAAAAATGCAATTGAGACAAAAAATACAAAGAATCAAAGAATTGAAAAGTTGGTTCTTTGAATGAAAAATTGATAAAGCATTAGTCACCCTCATCAAAATGAGGAAAGAAAAAACACAAATTCAAGCAATTAGGCATGAAAAGGGGGAAATCACAACAGATCCTACAGAAATTCAGAAGATCAATACATACTATGAGAACCTATATACTAACAAGATAGAAAACACAGAAGAAAGGAACAGATTCCTAGAAACAATCCAACTGCCAAAACTTAATCAAGAAGATATGAAAATTCTAAATAACCCAGTATCAGCAAGTGAAATTGAAATTTACCAACAAAGTAAAGCCCAGGCTCTGATGGGATTCATAGCTGAATTCTACAAGAAATTTAGAGAAGAACTAATGTCACTAATGCTGAAACTCTTTAGGGAAACTGAAAGGGAAGCAATACTTCCAAAATCATTCCTAGAAGCAAGCATTACCCGAATTCCAAAACCAGAGAAGAACCAAACCAAAGAAGAAACTAAAGGCCAATCTCCCTAATGAACATAGACGCAAAAGTCCTCAATAAGACACTGGGAAACAGAATGCAGCAAATCATCAAGAAGTTTATACACAGTGACCAAGTTGGATTCTCATCAGGATGCAGGGATGGTCCAACATACATAAATACTATTCAGCCATGAAAAAGATAAACTTAGGACTTTTTTAAGTAAATGGATGCAATTTGAGACCATACTCATAAGTGAAATAACCCAGACTCACATGTGTAAATGTCATATTGTCTCACCAGTGTGAAAATCTGAAGTTGAAAAAAAAAAAAAAAGAAAATCTGAAGTTGTAAACAAGATCCAAATGTACAATAGATATTCTCAATAGGGAAGAAACTCTTCAAAAGAAAATAAAAACTGTCATGGGAGAAAGATGAAAGGCAGGAAGGGAAAAGGAAAAAAATATATAAATGCAACATGGTTAAGATAATTATATAGCTGGTTTCTTTTGGTTCACTGAGAAGGTTTTGTGCTAGTAATTTTCTGGACAATATTTCATGTCTGTATCTTGTACTCTGAGCAACCATTGTGAAGATAGCAATACAAAATATGTTGATTATTCTTACTCTCTTAGTAGCCTGTTTTGAAACTGTTTTATAGCTATTTCTTTTCTGTTGAAAATTAAAAAGAAAATGAAAATATATCTATTTAAAATGATACCTAAAGGGCTGGGGATTTAGCTCAGCGGCATAAGCACCTGCCTTGCAAGCAGGCAGTCGTGAGTTCAATCCCTGGTACCGATAAAAATGAAAAAGACCAAAAAAAAAAAAATGATACCTAAAAAAAATCTTAATTTTTTAGGTATTAACCAGGGGGCTGGGTATATAGCTCAGCAGCATAGCACCTGCCTAACAAGCACAAGGTCCTCAGTTCGACTCCCAGTATCAAAAAAAGACAAAAGTTAATCAAAAGCTTATTTTAACTCATATGACTGAATTCACTTAATAATTACAATACCATTGTAATAATTTTTAATCAATATTTATTAAGAACATAGCCCTTAAAAATAATTTGGGCTTTGGTTTTGATCTTACAACCATGTAACTCCAACAAGTTATACACAGCTGTTCCTTACCCTATAACATTTTTTCTCCCTTTATGTTTTGCTTTACTTTAAACCTACCTGCCACCCACTCAGTAATGTAAATGAGGACTCTGTATATCCAAATTGCAAGCAGTGCTACTGTTGTGCTTCGGGGACATTATGAAATACAGTAAGGGTGACTTTAACACAAGCACAGTTACAGGTCAACAGCTACTTCCCAGACACCTGATGCCAGTCCTGGAGACTGTGCTAAGTGAGTAGCAGGAAGCAGGTACACTGGCGCAGAGGTGCTGGTCAGTGCAAGGATTCACTTCCAAGTCAACAGACTAAAGATTTTATCACACTCTCAAAATAGAATGCAGTTTAAAACCTGAGTTGCTTATTCCTAGAATTTTCCATGTAATATGTTTAGACTGTGGTTGACTCTGAGTAACTGAAACCTCCGAAAGTAAAACTATAGATAAGTGGTACCCTACTGTATTTAAATATAAGGAAGACAAGATTAAATGTGTACTCGTTCCTGGACATCTACGGAAGCTATTTCCACCAAGAACATTCTATTGTCTTTTTTTCTTTTACTTAAAAGCTAAATGTCTCGTTATCCACCACCTACCCACCTACCACCAAAACATGTTTTATTAAAAAACATAATAAACTGAATTATCAAAAAGAGAGCAAAAGAAAATCTAGGGGCCCATTAATGAGGCAGTATTAAAGTATGATACACTCCCACATTCAAATGTTATACAGCTAAATCAAAGAATAAAGATGCTCTCTACACACTGAGCAGCAGGAAGACCTCCAGAATGCATTTGCAAGTCCATACATACACCGTATGTTACCAGTGAGGGGGGAGGATGGGGAGGAGTAAACCAAGGACGCACACTGATATCCACACATACTCACATTCATGCAGATACACTGAAACAGTACAGGAAAAAGTGGTTATCAACAGAACAATGGCAGAAGGAAGTGTACAGAATCAATAAGGTAATGTGAGACTTTGTAAAGTATACTTGTTTTATATTGAAGTATGTAACCAAAGAACATGCACAATAACAAAATAGAAATTGTACCTTCAGAAAGAAATAGAATATGCATTTGGCTTGCTGTGAATCAAAATTTACATTTTGAAAATATAGAGTCCAAGTTCCCACTTAGCAAGATTCTTAACTTGGTGGGTTTATAGCTAGGTAAGAGTTATACATATTTTTAAGAAGTTTCCCAGGTTTTTCTGATGCAGACATTACTGAACAACTGATTCACACCAATCTTTTTATGTAACCAGATCTTTTTATGTAATCCTACTTAACAGCAACATTATGGATTGCTTTCTTTTTTTTTCCCCAACTCTGAATTCTTACAGCAACCTAGAGTTTTTCAAATAGCGTATCAACAACTGCCGAGCAAAATCCCACCAACAGACACAGATGCAGTCCACGTTATCTATTGTATTCTAAACGTTTAAATGAAACTTCTCTATCCCAATTTTAATTCTTTTTCCCTACGTGGGATTTAACCCAGGGCCTTGTGCATGCTAGGTAAGCACTTTAACAATGAGCTACATGTCCATAGCCTAAAAAGGTAATATTTTAAAATTTCTTTAGCCTTTTAAATTTTAAGCCAGTAAGAGTCAGGACTGTGTGATTCTCTTTGCTTGGACTCACACTGTAAGTGGGGAAGTGACTGAAAAAACTAGTAAGAACTGGTTTTGAACAGATCATGGAACAATTTCGGTAGTCACTATCCAGAGAGGGTTGGCATAGAATCACCAACGTAATATGCAAACAGTGACATTACACAGACCATTTGTTTACATCAAAATAATACATGAGGGCGAATGATCCCATGACACAGCACCTCAAACACCCCTAGTTGCTGGATGTAGTGGTGCTCACCTATCATCCCAATGCCTGGGAGGCTAAGGGAGGAGGATCCCCTGGGCAAGCCTAGGCTACATAGTGAGTTCAAGCACAACCTGAACTACACAGTGAGATCCTGCCTCAAAACACCAAAACATGCTTAGTTATCTTTCCTCTGCTCACTCACACGCATTATTTAATGACTGTTCATTAAGCACTGGTATACCAGAAGGCACTGTCCTAAATCCTGAGTGACAGGTGAAGATGAAAGAATACACCCTGCCCATGGCTCTATGTCACCACGCAGAGATGTGAAGTAGTGCTGATGGACACACATCATCATGGACTTCTGCCATGGGGTCCTACAGCAGCTCAGGAGCTCCTCTTCTGCTTCATAATATGGCTCAGTGATGCAAGGATGATCCACAGTCTGAGCACTGTCAGAGCAGACCCAGCAATAGGCCATTCCTGTAAGCTTGTGGGGTACATGGGTACCCTAGGTGAGGTGGCTGTAACTGGCAGCAGCCCAGCCCCATCCTTGACTCACTCCCCTAAGAGTTCAGGGAGCAGCTCGTGCACTAGTCGACAGACAGAGGGGGCCTTGGAGTGCTCCTGTCACCAGCCAGGCTGCTTCTTCCTGCAAGATGACTTGCTTTCCATCTTCTTCAATAATTTGGGCAGAGATGGCATCTAGGAGATGTGGTGACCACAGACAGCTCGACTCCTACTTCCCAGGATGTTGAGGACATCAGGTCATGGGCATTCAGAGGAGGAGTCCAACCAGGCATGGTGCCATACACCTGTAATCCTGGCATTCAAGAGGCTGAGGCAGGAAGACCACTGCAAATCTGAAGCCAGTCTGGAGTACACAGTGAGTTCAAGGCCAGCCTTAACTAAAGTGTGACCCTGTCTCAAAAAAGAGGAGGAGCCCACAAATAGCACTCAGACTCAGAAGTGCCCACTGCCACCTCCTTCCTCCCTGTCTCTGCGAAGTATGTCCCTATGCTGGCCACCATGGGTAAATTCTGGATACTGGCTGCAGCTGTGGGCTCAGACTCTATGCCAAATTATGCAGTCACAAAAAGGATACCATATGACTCCTAATCGGCCTTGCTGAATCCTCCCACCCAGACCCACATTCTCTATGGCTGTCAGGAGTCACAGGGGAAGGAGGCCGAACTTCAAAGCCCCAGCACTACCCTGATTTGCTTAGTTAATGTGCATTGCATGACAGCCTTGTAAAGTTTGATTAGTAAGATTTAGATCTATGATTATTATAAATGTAATTTTATAAATACTCGTGGGATTAAAAAAAAAAAGTACATGGCTAGGCATAGTGACATATGCCTGTCATTTCAGGACTTGGAAGACCAAGGCAGGAAGATCACCACCAGGTCCAGGCCAGTCAGAACTTCTAAGTGAGGTCAAGACCAGTGTAAAACCAGTGTAAAACCAAGACCAGTGAGGCCGTGCCTCAACAAATAGGTTACAGAGGAAAAACTGATACTCTGAAAATGGAATTTTAGAATGACTATCCCCTGATTTTACTTTTTAAAAAATCTACTAAACTTAAATTCTCCTTTAGTGTATTTCCACAGATCACTCAGACAGACAAAAAACAAAACAAAAAAACTCCCCCAAACCCCCAGAATCTGTACAAAAATAGAAGCTCTCCATTTGCTGTATCACCTTATCTTTTTTGGATATCAACTTGTTAGTATAAAAAAACCGTCTGCATAGTTAAGTATAAAAACATGGCCACAATGTCATGATCCCCAGACACCTTGGATCAGCAGGGCGCCAACACCTGTCTATCCTGTGCCACGGCTAGGGACTGCCTGCACCCGTGCGGAGTGAGATCCTGCTCTGGCGTCTTCAGATGTCCCCGTTGGTTTCTATGGATATCCTTAGGGTCACGCTCTGAAAATCTTGGATAAAAGTCAGGAAGTAGAAAATGAAACCAAAGGCCGCGGTCCACTCGCAGATGGCGCTGACGAGGTGATACACATAATCCTTTTCTTTCGGATTCCACTTCAGCTTGGTGATAGAGATCAGGGAGGCACAGGCGATCATGGGGAGGACAGCTGCACAGGACACCACAGAGATGGCCATCCGGGTGTGGCATGTGGCCAGGCTGTTCCACTGGGGACAGGACTTGTAGGAGATGACGGACTGCAAGAGGATGTACATCACACCGCACACAAAGGCAAGCAGGGCGCCGCCGTCATGGACCACGGGCATGGTCAGCTCCTGGAAGTTAGCCACGATGCCCATGCCAATGCAGCCCACCAGGCCAAGAACTAACGACACCAGGTTGAGGACAGGCGTGCTTAAGTAGCTGGTTTCATTCTGCTTCTCCAAGATTTTATATCTCATGTATATCGTGGCCGTGCCAAGAAATGCAGAGAAGTTTATCATGAATCCAAAAATGCCGCTCTCTGGTGGGACTGTTCCCGTATCGCTGATGTAGGGCAGGAAGGGGTTCACGTGCCCAGACAGCACAGCCACCACGTAGGAGATGATGACTGCGGCCGACGACCAGATCACCAGCAAGAAGGGGACGAAGGCCATGCCCCGCAGGAAGCACCACATGGTGGGGCACCGTCACTGGGAGAGGGAGCGCCCAGAGGCAGCAGCCGGAAACAGGAAGGGGTAGGCAGAATACATGAGTACACAGAGATCAGGGCAGAGATCAGGAGAGGGGCGGGGCAGGAGGGCTGCTGCGACACCGTGAGGTCACAAACTACAAGTAGTGTCCTGCGTGTGTCAGCTGTGGGTCATAGGGCCCAGGCCTTCACAGTCCTTCTGAGACATTATTATTTAGATCTGCTATAGAAAATGTAGAAAACTTTAACAAAATACAGCTAACCAGTTTCACTACACCTAATCAAAGACATCATCATTAGCATCTTAATCTACTTAAAATCATTATGTCAATTTTATTAAATTTAGTCATAAAATATCCTATAAACAAAATTAGGATGAGTTTCCTCTATTTATAGATAGTCACATTTATGAACAAATAAACTTTGCTAATACTGTACAAGGGGGTATTAGTAAATCTGAAGTAAGCCAAACACACCTTTTTAATCCAAGTTATTCATAGACAATTATCAATTGTAACATCAAAGCATGAATAGCCCGAGATTCGGAAGTATATTACCTCTTCTGAAACTGCCACACACTGTAGCAATGTATTCAGAATCCAGTTTTTTAACTTCCGTTAGTACAATATCCTAATAGAAGAAAAATTAAGTCAGTATTCCAAAAATGGCTTTCCGTGGTGACATTCTCAATACTAACCAAAGAACACAATTCAGTAGCACACTCTTACTTGCATTTGTAACATCTCTTCACGGGGGATTCTTTTTTCAAAGTCCTCAAAATATCTACAAGGGCAAAAGATTTTTGTAAACTTAAATCTCTTTAAAAATTAAACTGCCTAATCCTTTTACCAAAAGATCATTCTCATAAGTCTTACAAATCAAGTATAAAACACATTGAGAAGACAACAGTAAAAGTGGGACAAGGTGTCTATTCTTGAAGTTAATTCTTTTTAATATTTCAGAGACTCCACCTAAACTATGTGAGCCTGGTTCACATAATAAGAGTAAACAGATATATTTAAGATATACATGTTTTCAAAGTAGACTATTCTTTATTGGTAAGTGAAAGGGTTATAGTTTATTGCTTATGAGTCATGCAAAAATACTACGGCAGAAGTGCTAGTGTACTATGGCATGGTAGCATAATTTTAGAGAAAAATACAGTTTACATCAAAAAGCTAGAAGAAAAGATTTGAACATTTTCAACACAAAAAAATTATATTTCAGGAGATAGGTTTAACTTGACTTACATATTATAAAATGTGTACATATAGCAAAACATCGCATCGCACCTCACAAATACGTATAACTTACATATTTAAATTAAGAAATAACACAAAAATTCAGCAAAATTATATTTTAAAATGTTATCCTAACATGGATGAACTCACTGACTGTATGATGGAGGAGCAACTACAGCAAAAACATTAAACTCTGGAGTTTAAATGGTTGAATTATATGTAACTGTATCTCAAAAAGCCTGCTACAAAGATATTTCAGGTTGAAATAATGTCTAAGCAAATGTTTAAAAATCATTATGTACCTATTCAAAACCAGTTTTCATGACGACCAGGCGATCTCATTTACTATGGAAATACAAGCAAAGTGAGAAACACACCATCCTGCTGTTACTGGTACTAACTACTCTTAGAACAGTAATGTAAATTTAAGGATATTTGCGGAAGGCATCAACAGGAAAGTTCAGAAGGTTGTTGGGACCGAATCGCCAATCGTAGTTACATACAACACTTACTCACTACCAGCAGAAGTAATCTATATATAGCATACAAAATAATTACTAGTTTGCACAGGCACACATTTGTTAGTTATTCTTATGCTGCGAATTAGGTGTTTGTGGTTTCTTTTTAAGTTTAGTTTTTCATGTTTGATGTTCTTCTCAGGCAGAATATAAGCCCCTTAGAAGCTATACTGAACCTTATCTCAGACATAACACACTACACTATACAACACAAAGTAAACAGCCATCATCTGCCTAATGTACTTAGTTTACTTATCTTAGAAGGAAGCTCCCAGCTAAAGTCAAGAGTATGAGGGAAATCCTCAAAAACAAGCACACAAACTAGAAAGCAATAACAAAATGTTTGAAAACAGGAATATACTCTACAAGAGTGTGCAATGAATTTAGCATTTCTAAACTAAAAATGGTTATATTTTGCTAAGTGTGAAGAATTATGGTATATAAAGAATTTATAAATTTTTTAAATTTTTACTTCTCAAATATCAAAAGAAAATTTGCTATCTTACTTTAGCCCAATTCGTTGGTGATGATTCAATTTATCTTCATTTTTCCTGAGATCTGAATAGAAGATAAAGTTGAGGTGTTAATTTAAATATTTTTTGGAAAAACTGAACTTCATAGCCCTTCTACAAAAAACTACTGAGGTGAAGTGAAGTGATTTTGGAAACAGAGAAAAAATTTCCAGGTATTAAAAACTAGATGAAGTAACTCTTCAATCAATGTAAAACTAACAGCTGATTTCATGATCATTTTAATGTATTGAATCAAAATATCAGTTAATAGTTGCATGAAATAGTAGATAAAATATACCAGGAATTATATCAAATTTTACTGACTATAGCAAAAAGCAACCCTAAAAGAAACAATGCTATTTAATTTATTGTTCATAGCAGTAGTAGTAATCATGTCTGAAGACTACATAATTAACTGGGTTCATTCATATTGTACACTTGTTCATCTACTTCCTTTAATTAGTACTTACTAAGGATTTCTGCTAAAAATCCATTAGTAAAGGCACTCTATTATCTTCATTTTTCTAATCTGCAAAACCTGTCATAGCACTGCATTTTGAATACTAAAAGTGAGTTAAACAAACAAGAGAAATGTGCTTTAAAAGCAGTTCTTACAATTAACCTTATATTCATGAATGCATATATTCCCTCTGGATATATATATAAAAGAGAAAGTGAGTATCTTCATGACACATGCAGCACTTTATATCTCCCACAGAAAATACTTTTTGTGTATGTCTGAAAGTAAAATGGAAATACTGAATTTATGATCTAGATATCAAGTTATATAACTCATCTTAATTATGAAATATAAACAGAAAAGTAGATCCTTGATACTACCATAAATGACTTTGATAAGTCCCGAAATTCTGGACTCCTTTATCCATTCATCTCACTCAGATAAACTGATATGCTATAAGCACAAAACCACACATCCCTTCTGAATACACAGAACTCATTCTCTCTAGTCATATGACTCACATGAAGTCTTATTTTATTTTTTTGAAATCCACTTTAATTCACAGAGAAAAACAATTTCCAAACACAACTATCAGGGGACAACAATGGTGCCATCCCCAAGTCAGTCACCCAGAGCACAAGACATATGCATTCAATTGTCTAGAGAACACCAGCACAAACCTTTCTCTTCAATGAACTCAGAGAAATCAGTAGCATAACTATCTTAACTATATTTCACACACACACATACACACAGTTTCAGCTTTTCACACTAGTGAGACAATATGATGTTTACACAATGCATGTCTGATTTATCTCACTTACAAGTATGGTCTCAAGTTGCATCCATTAACCTATGAAAAGCCTCCAGTTTGTCCTTTTTGGCTGAGTAGAACTCCACTGTATAAATGTACAACTTTTTTATCCATTCCTCAGTTGATAAGATCTAGCTGTTACAAACTGTGCTGCTATGAACAGAGGTGCACATATATTACTGGGGTATGATGCTTTTAATTCTTCTAGGAAGATATAGCTGGATCAAATGGGACCTCCATGCTTAGCCTTTTGAAGAATCTGGCTGCACCAGTCTACACTCCCACTAACAATGGAGAAGGGTTCCTTTTTCCTTCTCAGTCCCTCTAGCTTTTGTTATTGGTTGATTTCTTGATAATAACCATTCTTTCTGGGGTGAAGTGGAATCTCAGTGTTGTTTTAATTTGCATCTTTCAAATGACCAGTGATGTTGAACATTTTTTCATGTATATATATTTGCTGTTTGTATTTCCTCATCTGAGAAGTGTATATTCACCTCACATGACCATTTTTAGATTGGGTTATTAAATCTGAGAGGACAGATTTTTTTGAGTTCTTCGTTGTTTTTGATAGTACTCCTCTGACTGAGGAACACCTGCAAACATTTTCTCCCACATTGTGGGTTGTCTCTTCCTTCTATTATTGGTGGTTTCTTTTGCTGTGCAAAACCTTTTTAGTGAGATTTCAGTTGCTGATTCTTTGTGACAGTTCCTGTACAACTGCGGTTGTGTTTACAGTCTTTGCCTACACTAATGTCCTCAAGAGTTTTACCTAGTCTATCTTCCAGTAGATTTAATATTTCTGTTCTAATATTTAGATCTTTGATCTATTCTGAATTTAGTGTATGGTCAAAGACATGGGTCCAACTTTAATCTTCAGCATGTGCAGAGCCAGTTTTACCAGTATCATTTATTAAAAAGCTATCTTAAAAAAAATTAAAAATAAAAAGCTATCTTTCTTCCTGTGAATGTGTTTGGCACCTTTGTAAAGATAAGGTGGCTAATGTGTCTGGAGTTGTTTTTGTATCTTCTAAACTGTTCCACTGATCTTTAGGTCTTTGTTTGTTTGCTAGTACAATGCTGTTTTTTATCACAGTAGCATTATAGTATAATTTCAAGTCAAGGACTGTGATGCACAGAATAGCATTTATTATTCTAGGTCTCTTCTAGTTCCAGATGAATTTGAGGATTGTTTTCTCTAATTCTGTGACATATGCTACTGGAATTTTGATTGCAGTTTCACTGAATCTGTTTTTGAAGTATGACTGTTTTCACTATATTGGTTCTTCCTACCCAAGAACATGGGATATCTCTCCATTTTCTAACATCCTCTTCAATCTCCTTTTTCACAGTACTGTAGTTTTTAATGTAGACATCTTTGACATCCTTCATTGGATCAATTCTTAGCCATTACATTTTTGGGGGATGCCATTGTGAAAGGTGTTGCTTCCCTGATTTCTCTCTTAGTGAGTTCATGTACAGGAAAGCTACTGATTTTTAAGTGTTGATTTTCTATGTCACTGTTACTGAATTTGCTCATTAAATCTACCAGAGTTCTAGCGGAGTTTTGGGGGTCTTTCTTCTATGTAAAGTATCATGTCCTCTGTAAATAATGATAGTTTAACTTCTTCCTTTCTTATTTTTATTCCTTTTATTTCTTTCTCTTGTCAAGTGCTCTGGCTAAAGTTTCCAGGACTATGTTGAATAGGAGTGGAGACAGTGGGCATTCTCATCTTGTTCCTGATTTTAAAGTAAAAGCTTTCAATTTTTGTCCATTTAGTATGATGTTGGCTGTTGGTTTGTCATAGAGGGCTTTTTATCAGATTGACATAGACCATCTATTCCAATTATCTGTAGGGTTTTTATGATGAATGGATGGTGGACTTTGTTAAAAGCTTTTTCTGTATCTATTGAGATAATCATATGATTTTTGTCTTTGGCTCCATTAATGTATTACATTTAATGATTTATATATGTTGAACCATCCCTGCATCTCTGGTTTTGACATCTTTCATTGGATTGATTCCTAGCCATTATACTCTTAGTGAGTTTGTTATTCATGTACAGGAAAGCTTCTGATGTTGTAGGGTGGAATACTCTATTGACATCTACTGAGTCCATTTGTTTAAAAGCTTGATTTTGTTCTATTTCATTACTGACTTTTTGTCTAGTTAATCTGTCTGTGACAGCAGGGGTATTATGACAACAGGGGTAAGCCCAATATAATTGTATTAGGGCTTATTTGATTTTTCATGTCTGTTAGTAATTGTCTTATATAGTTTGGTGCACTGGCATTTGTTACATATATATTTATGATTGTTACCTCTTCCTCTTGGGATTGTTGCCTTTATGGGGATGTAGTGACCTTCTTTATGTCTCTTAATCAGTCTTGGCTTGAAATTCATTTTGTCTGTAAATAGAATAGCTATCCCTTTTTGTAGCATTATTTTCCACCCTTTGATTTTCATTCTATGAATTTCTTTTTTAATTAAATGTGTCTCTTGTAAGCAGTATATTGCTGGATCTTGCTTCTTGATCCATTTTGCCACTGTGTCTTTTGACTGGTGAACTGAGATCATTAACACTGATGGTTATAATTGACTTATCCTTGTCATGTTGTTTTTCTGTTGATGGTTCCTCTCACTTTGTCCCCCTCCAATTGTTTGCCTTGCCTGGTAGATTCTTTCTGTCGGGGTTCATGGAGCTGTAGTCCTTATTATGTCTCTCTAGAATGTCCTTCAAAACATTTTGAGTACTGTTTTGGTGCTAGTAAGTTTCCTCAGGTATTCTTTGCCATGAAAGTATTTCATTTCTCCATTGATTTTGAAAGATAGTTTCGTGGGGTATATCAATCTGGGTTGAAAGTCATTTTCCTTTAAAGCTTGGATTACTTCACTCCAAGTTCTCCTTGACTTGAGCATCTGTACTGAGAAATTAGCTGTGATTCTGACTGGCTTCCCTTTATAGGTGATTTGTTTCTTTTCTCTAATCACTTTTAAGAGTCTATCCTTGTGTTGACTTTCTAGAGTCTTGACTATGATACGCCTGGCTGTAGAATTTTTTTGATCATGGCTTGTAAATTTCCTATGGTGGGTTGCTCTATTGCTAGTATTTAGAATCCTTAGATGATGGCTACTTCTCTGAAGTATCTTCCAGGTGTACCTTGTTTTTAGGTTTGAGTCTGTTGGAAGATCTCACCTTTTCAGTTTTTTGGGTATGGGAAGCTGTTGCTTGTCTAGCCCAGTCCCTAGTTCTTTGGCCCTGTACCATAGCATTTTGTAACAGTCAGTCTCAGTCATGGATACCAGAACGAAGAGCTCTTCAAAAGAATTCTGTCAATTCCGGCAATAGTGGTACCAATAGCATCAAACACATCCTACCAAATGATAAACGGGGCTAACACTTTGCCACTTTTAACCATATGAAACAGATTTGTAATTATATAACAAAATGTAAGACAAACTAAAAAATTATATGCAGTACACAGTGAATTTTGCCCTCGGGAGTTAGAATTTAAAATGAATTAAGAAGAAAATAGGGAAGCAAAAGAAAAGGAAGAGATTAGAAGACTGGAGGACAAAAGGGGATCATACCAACTTTGGGAAACTGGTGCAGAAGACTGAAAGAAGAGATGGAGGCAGGAGGTTTAACCCAGGGGCACAAGTGCCTGCCTGGAAAGTTCAATCCCTGTTAACAAAAAAATAAAAAAATAAAAAAGACAGGGAGAGATGGAAGAGACCAAAGGAAAAACAGAACAGAATAGATCCACAACCACAAAGAGGCTAGGAACCACATTCACATTCATACAAAAACAAGATCAAATAATGAAGGAGAAAGAGGGAAAAGAAAAAACCCCTCCACTACCAGGGTTTGCTCTAGTTTTACTAGTAGACAACCTATGGAGACAGAGTCCTGATTTGTGCAGATCTCCAGCAAGCTAGCAGTAGTTTTTTGTAGGGTACTAGATAATCTTACCAGGCCTGCTCCAAGACTGGACTCACTGGGCTTAATACTGCCCAAGTAATTTCTACAGGTCTAAGCCCAGCTGGGATCTACTAGATGAAGCCAGCAGCAGTTCTCGGTTCTGAGCTCAGCCAACCCAACTCCAAGATGGCTTCTGGCTAATCATTTTCTTCTGTGGGAGGACTAAGCCCTCTACATTCACCACCAGCCAGTGCAATCCCTCATATATGTTGTTGCTGCCCTCCACCACTATGTCTCTGTATAGAGGACTCTCGGGTAACCAGCCGTCACCATTACACTGGGTTTGCAGGTTTGAACTGCTCCTCTCGTGCAGTGAGTCTTGTCTCCTTCTTCATTCAATTTTCTCTCTTCATTCTCTCTGTGGGCTCTGATTTGCACTTCAGAGTCTTCCTGAGTCCAGTGGACCCACTTCCCTGCTTTTTGTCTTCCTCATCATGCTATATTCCAGTGTCTGGATGGCGACTCTCAGAGAGGCTGTTGTCCCTGCTGCTTCCTGTCCCACCATCTTGGTCTCCTCTCATGAATTCTTAGATTAGTAATACTAGTGACAAATGATGCCTTATGGGAGTCAGTTAGCATTTTAAGTATTTGCTATGATTCAAGCACTCTGCTAAGTGTTAGATTAAAACATTAAGTCATATGAGGTAGAAATACCCATTCAGGTCAGTCTTCAAACCTGTCCATTTAACACAGGGGCTCTTTGTAAGTAGCTAAACCTACAAACACTACACTCAAAATGCCACAGATGTAACGAATCCATACATATAGAATATGCCCTTCCTTGAAAAGCATGAATAAACAAGTTTATTGGATTGTTATAGTAGGTTTAAGGAGACTGTTTTAAACTTACTTGACTTGGGTTCTATTTCTGTCATTTCCTTGAAGGAAAACATTTCTTCAAAAAGCATTAAAAATCTCTCAATATACATAGATTTTAGTCAGATATATAAGACTTCACCTAAAATTTTATTAAATAAACAAAAGAAATTTACTTCTTCTAAAAATTTGTAAATTATTACTATTTCACTGTCTTAAAGTTATTTATTGTCCTTCCTGATTTTCTTCTGAGTTACAAACCTAAAAATGTTTGACATGGGATATAAACTATATCCTACATGTTCTATATTGCAGAGTTAAAAGGTCTTCCTGTATTGATTAAAAACAAATTTTTCAAGTTTTAATTTGTTAGTGTATTAGTTCTTTTGGACTATATTTAACCTGGAATTAGAAACCTATGATATTACTCACCTTCTAATGTTTTAATTCCTTCATCTACAAACTTCCTTGCAGCAGATGGACTATAAAGAAAGAAACACATTATTTCAATATCAGGTAAAACTCAGGGCTTTTGGAACAAATAACCAAATATCTGCTATGTCAAACAACAGAGATATTAAACTAAACAAGACCTGATAAAATCTTCCATGGTTACTTTAGTAATGTCCAATTTTATCCAAAGGAAGAACTTTTGAAGCTTCAATTATTAGGAAGACAACCACACACTTGTGAATGAAAAAAAAATACCTAAGCAGCTAGCCATCACAATGGCCATATACTGTCTACACATAGACAATATAGAAAACTGTCCATTCATTCAGTATAGAAAATTGTCCATTCATTCAGCTAAGGTCTACTAAGGAACCTACTACATGACAAATACTCAGCTGAAAATACTGCATAAATAAGACAAATAACCTTGGTCTTTTTCCACTTATCCAGTGGTCTTAAGTTCCTAAGGAGAATGTTCATTGTCAGTATACTATGTTTAAGAATTTATTATACTTTAGACTAACTTGCATCAGAAACACAGCCACTAAAACCTAAAGGAATGCCTTATTCCATAAAAATGAGAGGCAAGTAAAGCCTTATGGCCTTAATATTTCAATGCTAACCTTTCCTTTGTCCAGTGTCAAAGAAGCTACCTTCCTTGCTAGCCCAAATTTTAAGATAACAATTCCTTCATTAAAAACTGTCTAAAAGCTTGTTTCAGATTATAAGATGCTATGGGTAACAGCATAAGTGCTTAAAATAAACATGCTTAAGTGTTTAAGAGAAGCAGAAGAGCATGACCTAAAGGAAGCAGTAAGACATACTCAGCATGTGGAATTTAGATGAAAGAAGGGATTGTTTCTGGCTGGAGAATCAAAGCAGTTTGTGAAGGAGGTGACATTTGTCTGCTATGTGCTTTTAATGTGGAAGCAGCATTAGGCAAACCAGACTTGGACTATAAGGAAGGATGATCATACAGGATGGTACATTGTATGGGCAAAGGTAAAAACACAGAATACAGGTTTGAAAGAGAAACAACATTTAAGTTTATAAAAGCACAAGCTTACAAAGAAATTGCATGTTGGTTGCCTGACACAAAAAATAAAACCAATCTACAACTGTGTTTGCTTAATAGTTCTTACCCAATGCCACTAACTCGAGTCAGAAAATTAATGGATGAACTCGTATCATCTTGCCGAATCTAAAGAGAACAAAGTGGTTAACAATAATTTAGAAATGTTTTGAGAATGTAAATGATCTCAATGGGACTATATCAGTATGCTATGAGAGGTGTGAAAAGCTATTTACACTTGCCTGGATAACCCAGACAGAAGTATTCATATCTATCATAAATAGTTACAGGTAACACAGCAAGTAAGGATGTCCCATCTCTGATTTATTCAACGCTTTCCAAAATTTTTGCCTAGGGTGTAGCTCAGAGGCACAGTATATGCTTAGTATGGACCAGGCCCTGGTCCCTAAGACCAAATAATTAAAAGAATTTCTTTTCTTTTAAATTGACAGAGATATATAGGCAAATAGATCTATATACATACATTTATCATGTATAACAATATTTTGAAGTATACATATGTTGTAGAATGGTTAAATCTAGCTAATTAACTAATTTGTGGCCTCTCATATTTATTTTTATGTTGAGAACATTTAACATCTTACTCTCTGCATTTTTAATTTCCCAATACTTTTTTAAAGGGCCTGTTCATAAAAGACTAAAAATCATTAGGGTGAAATAAAGTCATAAAAATGTTTAGGAGAGTTTCAGCACAGACAATCTAAGTGATAATGATCTTTTAGTAAAAGTTATAATCTCTTTTCTGCATGTTACTGAAAATGAAGAGACAACACTACCATCAACGCTCATAGTTGCTTAAATGTCACATAAAGTGGAAAAAGTTGTGTGTGCATGTGTGCACATGCATGGTTTTTTTAGATGGTATCTCATTGTGTTGCTTAGCCTGGTCTCAAATTCATGAGCTAAAGTAATTCTCCCATTCAACCTTCCAAGGCTAGCTGGAACTACAGGAATATAACACTACACAGGGTTACACATGAAAATTTTACAGGGCAATACTCACATTCTTAGAAACAGAATACTTAAAGCCATAAAATTCATTCATATCTTTTCCTTCTGAGTGTCACTAGACTGACTGACATCAATCACCCTGACACAAAACAGTTGCCATAGGAGATACTGTAATAAAATAAGCACACAAATAAATTAAATTTTACCTTTTCCAGTTTACGTAATTTTCCGGTTGCTAAAAACTCATCAATTTTTTCAGCAATTTTTGTTCCTACTCCAGGCTATAAAGAAAATTAAAAGTCATATAAATATATCTACCAAATCACTAAAAAATAAAGTAAAAAGTGAAAAAATGAAAAAAAAAAAGATCATTTGACAAGTTTCAAAAGCAGACAGAAATCTGAATCCTAGTAATAAATTCTCCCAGAGCCAAAATGCTTAAGTGACAGGCAAAAGAAAAACCATAACAAAACATATGACTCTAATTTATTTAAAATTGATTTTTCTTGTAGAAAAAATTAGAACATTCTACAAAGACTGTTAAATTACTTATCAATCTTGCTGATCTGAAAATCAAGATCACCTACAGCCTGATCCCCTCACATCTGTGACATACTGAATTCTTTTCTGCTTATAAATATACATACACACTTATGTATTTTTTCCACATTTTGAACAGATTTTCATATCAATAAATGTAACTATGGATCTTTAGTGGCTGTATAGTATATCACTGTATGAGTGTATAACTTACCTAACAAACGTATCTACACAGTGGATCATAAACTTCCTTTAAAGTACAGGTTTTTAAGCTTCAGCCTATATCAGTACAGGGAAAGGAGGACAGACAGGACTGGATGGGAATGATCACTTTGTCAAAGGAAGAGGCCAAGAATTTATACCTCTAAGTTCTCAGGTGCTGCTGTTCAGGGCATCAACACACTGCAAACCACAACTGCACAGTTCAATATAGCCTACTAGACACATGTGACAATTTAACTGAAATTAAAATTTTAAAATTTTCAGTTAACTGGTCTCATTTCAAGAATTCAGTAAGCGAATGTGGGTCATGATTGCCTTACTGGAGAGCAGTGCTCCCAAATGTAAGCTCTAAAGGGCAGAGAGCCTATCTTCACTGCATTATCCAGAGTACCTGGCATACAAATTTTTAAAAGTTACGAAACAATATATCCTTGTGCTATTTCAAAGGACATATATCAAGTTTGCCTTCAGGAAAGCTGAAACAGTGAACACAGTTCACAGCAGTGAGTGTGCCTTTTTTATATCTTTGTCCACACTATATATTATAATGTATTGAATAATTTGATAGGTACTGTATAGTATTTTGTTTTAATTTCTAACTTTATTAGTGAAGTAAAGCTTTTTTCACGTTGGCCCTTTTTAGTTACACTTTCAACATGTGATAAGACATGCTACTTACTTCTTACTTTCTCATGGCCCTACGTTTTCTTCTGTATACTGGGTTTATTTAATGTTCAATAAATGGCCCAAAGCTACTGAATGCCTATTCAAGTTCTGAAAAGAGCAATTACAAAGTAGAAATGAACAAAAGGTTTAGGGAAACTAGAAAAGGGAAAGTACTTATTTCCTATGTTGGATGATAATTAATCTATACTAGTGCTAAAAATAATTTTATTATATAGCATACTGACCTCAAGCATCACTACAATAATTTTTACTCCATAAAATAATGACCTCAAGCAATTTAGACTCAATCTATTTTTCATACCTACCATTAAGAAATACAAGACAGGGCTGGGGATACAGCTCAGCAGCATACACACCTGCCTGGCAAATGCAGTCCTAAATTCAATTCCCAGTACAAAAAAAAAATCCTTTACTTGTTCAAGAAACACAAGACAAGATATCTAGAAATTTTTTTTTTTTAGATTTCTGGAATTACTGATGAGCCTTCATATGGACTAGATAGTGAAAAAGAATAATGATTATTTTTTATGTTAAGTCTAATGAATGGAAAAGTAGTTTCAGATACTTTTGTATTACTATTAGGAAAATACCATGATCTCAGATTGGGGATGAAAATTATCAGAGCTGTTTAGAATCTTTCTATAAACCAAGCATGGTGGCTCATGCCTGTAATCCCAGCACTTGGGAGGCTGAGGCAGGAGGATCGTTGCAAGTTTGAGACCAGCCTGGGCTACAAAGTGAGCTCAATGCCAGCCTAAACCCCATAGCGAGACCCTGTCTCAAAAAGACCAAAAAAAAAAAAAAAAAAAAGAATCTTTCTATAATAAATGAGGAAGCTATCTGTAGTAAATCTAAGGAGTTTTGAATCATTTGGTAGAATTTAGACAACAGAAAACAATCTATTAACAGGTTGATCTTCCCAGGATATATTTAAGTGATACTGTTACAAACTACCAGGAGAGACAGCCCTAAAGAAACTGTGACACTACTAGTAAAGGGGACCTCATGGAAATTACAGAGAAGAGGGTTAACTGCTATAATGTGAAAGGGTTTAATTATCTGATAATTCACAGATAAGAGCTTTTAGGGGACAGTAATTCCTATAAGTTACAATAGCCGGGAATCCAAGAAAAACAGCTACGAACCACGTATGCTAGTATCTCTCTCAGACACTAATGTCTTGAGGACCCACACTCGAGATGAAATTCAATGTAAGAGTGACAACATGCATACATGACAAAAGAGGGGAAAAAAGCCATGATTACATAAATTTTTAAAAATGTTAACCCATCTTTCCTCCAAATAAAAACACTTGAATTGGAAAGTATGCTTGATAAAGAATTAATTTTTTTTTTATTGGTACCAGGGATCAAACTCACAACCACAAGCTTGCAAGGCAGGTGCTTATGCCGCTGAGCTAAATCCCCAGCCCCTAAAGAATTAATTTTATTCCAGGATCAGTGAACTCTGCCTATGTATGAGTCAAGGCAATCTCTTCAGAGGGAAGCTTAGTTTTGTGGGAACCCAGAATTTCTACATGCATGAACTGTTCAATCAAAGTGTTCACTAAACCTACCAGTTTCTTGGCTTCTGCTCCACTCTTGATTTTGTGTGGGTATTTTGCTATAACTGATGCTGCTTTCCTATAAGAAAAAAAAAGGAAAACAAATTAAAAGTCCATCAAGGCTTTAATTTTCTTTAACTGGTATCCAAATACCAAGATAACTCATTCATCTCCATATAAAATTAAAACTTAAGATTGCTGATAGACCACCTACTATATTTTAATTTGTAAAGGTATCTTGATGTTCCTTTCTATACCTAAATAATAATGTCAGTACAACATACTAGAACTTATGGGACACAAAGCATTCCTAAAGGAAAGTTCATAGGTTGAGAACTCCTACATCACAAAAACGAAGTCAGTACAAATAAATAACTTAATGATACACCTAAAGGTCCTAGAAAAACAAAAACAATCTAAACGCAAAGCTTCTACAGGAAGGAAATTATGAAAATCATAAATCAATGAAATTGACACCAAAAAAATAGTCAACAAACTCAAGAGTTAGTTCTTCAAAAGAATAAACAAAACAGACAAATCCTTAGCCAATCTACACAAACAAACAAAGGACGGAAAAGATATGAATCAGTGCCATCAGAAATGAAAAAGCAGCCAGGCGTGGCAGCACACGCTTTTAATCCCAGCACTATGGAGGTTGAGGCAAGAGGATTACCCTGGGGGGCTGGGGATTTAGCTCAGCGGCATAAGCGCCTGCCTTGCAAGCAGGCAGTCGTGAGTTCGATCCCTGGTACCAATAAAAACGAAAAAGACAAAGAAAAAAAAAAAAAAAAAAACAGGATTACCCTGAGCTTGTGCCTGTCCTGGGCAATAAAAGTGAGTTCAAGGCCAGTCTAAATTACAGAGTGAGACTCTGTCTCAACCAAAAAGAAATGAAAAAGGTCACAATAGATACTACCAAAATAAAAAAGATTACTAACAATTACTCTACAAACACGTAAACCAATAAATTGATTAATTCAGAAGAAATGGACAGATTCTCAGGTATATATGAATTACTAAAACTGAACCAAGATGTAAAAACCCTAAATAATCCAAAAATCACAAGTCATCTCAATAAACACAGAAAAAGCTTTTGACAAAATCTAATATCCTCTCTTACGATGATAAGTAAAGAAAATAAGTACAGAAGAACTTTTTCTCAATCTGATAAAAGCCATTTATGACCAATCTGCTGCCAACATGACATCAAATGAGGAAAAACTGAAAGCTTTTGCTCTAAAATCAGAACAAAACAAGGATATCCACTATCACATAGTACTTGGAACATTAAAAGCAATTGGGCAAGAAAAAGAAATAAAAAGGGATATGTACAGGAAAGGAAGAAGTCAAATTAATATTTGCAGAAGATACTCTATATAGAAGATCCAAATAATCCAACAAAAGACTCTTAAATTAATAATCAAATTCAGTAATGTAGGATATAAAAATCAGTAGTATTCCTGTACACTAATAATGAACCTATTGTAAAGAAAATTTGGAATAAACACCATTCACAATAGCAGCAAGAAAAATTAAACACTTAGGAGTTAGCCTGATTAAGGAAATAAAAGACCTGTACAATGAAAACTATAGTACTATACTGTGAAAAAGGAAATTGAAGAGGAAATTCATTAGAAAAGATCCTGGAAACGCAGAACCAATATAACCAAAAAGGCTGTATTTCCAAAATTGATGTACATTTTTTTTTAAAAAACTCAATCTCCCAACCAAAATTCCAACAGCATTCTTCTCAAACTGGAGAAAACAGTCTTAAAGTTCATATTGAATCAGAAGAGATCCAGCATTGCTTGGGTAAAAAGAACAAAGCAGGATCACAATCCCCAACAGGACATTGTATTACAAAACTACTGCAACAAAAACAGCAGGGTACTGACATAAAAATAGACAACAGAACAAAATAGAGATCAGAAACAACCCCAAGCACATTCCACTATTTGATCTTTTTTGTTGTTGTTGTTGTTTTTTGCGGGGGGGGGGTGTCTTTTTTTTTTTTTAATCGGTACCAGGGATTGAACTCATGACCTGCTTGCAAGGCAGGTGCTTATGCCACTGAGCTAAATCCCCAGCCCCCCCACTATTTAATCTTGACAAAGGAGTCAAATACATACATTGGAGGAAAGATAGCCTTTTAAATAAATGGTGTTGGGAAAGCTAGTTATCTACATGTAGAAGACTGAATCTGTATCCATATCTCTCACCATGTACTAAACTAAAATCAAAATGGATCAGAGAACTAAATGTTGAAATACAACAAATATCTATCCACTGAAAGATAAAATAGGAAAACTTGAAGTTGCAAACTTTGGCAAGGATCTTCTGAACTGAACCCCAGTTGCATAAGAAATAGTACCAAGAATCAACAAATGAGATTATATCAAATTAAAAAGCTTCTGTAGAGCAAAAGAAACAACCAAGACACTGAAAAGACAAACAACAGAATGGAAAACTTTTTGCCAGTTATTCCTCAGGGTTATAGCTTGTGTTTGGATGTCCCCCAAAGCCTCATGGGTCATGAGGTGTGCTTTTTGGAGGCGACTGAATCTGGAGTTTGTGATTGGTTCACTGTTTAGCACTGGAATTGAGGGTGTGGTACACCTATCACAGGGTGCTACACCCACCCCTACATATATAAAGAGGGAAATGCTTGTCTTTCTCTTTTATATTTGCTGCTTTTGCTCTCTTCTGCCACCATGGACTGTTGTCCCACTGCCACACCACCATATTTTGGCGACAGTTGATAGACTGAAACCTCTACAAATTGTGAGCAAATTAAAGTTTTCTTCTATTATCTTTGGGTGTTAGCTATTTCTCTTAGCAATGAGAGAAAAATAACTAAGACACTTAGATGACTCATATCTAGAATATGTAAAGGACTCAAAAATATCAGACTCCCCAAATAAAAGATCCAATAAAAAAATGGGCAACTAAAATGAATAGACAATTCACAGAAGTACGAATGGCCAATAAATACAAGAAGAAATGTGCAACATCTCTAGCCAATTGTGAAATGCAAATTAAAACAACACTGAGATTTCATTTTACTCCAAAAAGAATGGACATCAACAAGAAATCAAATAATAACAAACGCTGGAGGGGCTAAAAGGGAAAAGGAACTCTTCTGTGGAAACCAGTGTTGTGGAGTTTCCTCCAAAAACTAGAGATTACATTTGACCCAGTATTCCTTTTCTGGGCGTCTTCCAAAAAGAGATAGACATATTATAGTGATACATGGATGCCTATGTTTATATCAGCACAAATGAAATACTTAAATCTTGGAAGCAAATATGTCCATCAACAGATGAGTATGTAAAGAAAATGTGATACTTACAAATGATGGAGAGCTAACTCAGTCATAAAGAAAGATAAATTTGAATTATTTGTAGGAAAATGGATATACCTTAAAACTATAATGTTAAATGAAATAAATCAGACACAAGCTTAATTACTGAGTGGTTTCTCTTATATAAGATACTCAATGTATAAAGAAAGAGCAAAATACAAAATAGACAATAGGAAGTAGGGAGAAGTAAGCTTTAGGCAGTTTATGAAAATTATTTCAGGAAAAGCAAGTTGGCCCAGATAACTGGTACTATGGGACAGAGACTGACAAGGAAGAAAAATTAGATCATGAAAGATTTTTTGAGCTGAGTGTGATGGTACACACCTATTAAGAGTCCCAGCTACTTGGAATGCTGAGGAAAGAGAATTACAAGTTTAGAGCCAGTCTGGACAACTTTAATGAAACTCTGTCTCAAAATAAAGTTGAGAAAATGCCAACAATGTAGCTGAGCAGTAGAGTGCCTGACTAGCATATACACTGTAAGGGAGGGAAGGCATATGTGAGGCCCTGAGTTCAATCCCCAGTACTATGTTAAACAAAGTGGGGGTATTCACGTGCCATAATGTAACTGGGCTTTATCAAGGTAAAGAGAAAATATTTAATTAAAATGGAAGAATGAAAGGATTAGATAACTAATTTCAAAAGATTTCTTTGGCCACAACCAACAGAAATGTATACAGGGGTAGAAAGCAATATGTAAAGATAGTAGGGTATCATTTCCTTTCCTAGACTTATTTCCCATTCATGCCATATTACTTAAACAAACTGACTTACTAGCATCGTGTCTCAATGCCTTGGTATATTTGGTTTCCTTGTCTGGATTGTTTTTCCTCTCATTTAATCCCTGATGAGCTTCTTCAAGACTAAAAACCTTATCGCTGAAGACTTCTGTGACTCAATCAGAATATACAGTTGACTATCACTCCAACTTCCAGATTACCAATACATGGAAGATAGCTCAATTACTTTTTATAGGAAGTCACAGGAAGTAGGAAATGAAGGAAACATAATCAGTTCTGAAATATGCTCAGCAGGAATGGAAAACTCTGGGGAAAAGTCCAGTGAGACACAGCCTTGAAGTCACTGAGACAAGTGGTATTCAGATGGTAAGCCACTTGAATATGTGGTAAACTAAAAAAGGGAAATTATAAAAGTGAGAGAAAAGGTCTATCAGCAGACTTCTGGGAATACCAACAAGACAAGACAGATAAAGAAAGGGAAAATGATGATACTCACAGGAGTCAAGGGAAAGACTCTCATATGGTGAATGCCACAAAGAGTGCAATAAGATCAGACACAGGTGAGATTTCAGAGATGGTAGGACAAAAACTATACTACAGTGCCATAAGGACTGACTATAGATGAGGAAGTCCACACATGAAACTGATTATCCAAGAAAACTAACTGAAGCTTTTACTAGCTAAACTAAAGAAGTTAAGATTGCTTTGATTTTACTTTAAAGAGCTCCTTAACTCTTGAAGTCCCCCAACTTGCATAATTTGACAGGCTAAAGAGCAGACGGAGGTGGATGTGGGCATATTGGATAGGACATGTCTCCTTTTGAGCCCCTGGTGATGGGCAAGGATGAGATCCTATGAATGTGATAGAATCAGCCAGAAACCAAACAGATGAAAAGATGTTTCCTTGAACCATATTTGTTTCACAGCATAGACTTCATCCACTGTTTTGTTTTGTTTTTTAACCGGTACCGGGGATTGAACTTATGATGGCGCGCTTGCAAAGCAGGTGCTTATGCCGCTGAGCTAAATCTCCAACCCCGTTTTCCCCTCTTGAAGATGGTTCAAATATCCACTGGACCCTCAACCCTGTTAACTGCCACACAAAACAAGGGCATCTCAGAACACACGCTACCAGTCAAAGCCGCACTGTCCCACCTGTAAGCATTGTACTTGTGGATAGCCTGGCTCACATTCTTCTCAAAATTTGCGAGTTCTGAAAAGGCAACGAGAGGATCAGGTGAGCAAGAACCACGTGAAACACACGAGAACAGGGTTCCCTCTGGGGGTGCCCACCCGATTCCCCCAGGCCAGACCAAAGGCCGCTCCAGCGATGACCAGGAGTCCCGACTAACGAAGATGCCCGCGGAAAGCGACCGCTGCAACGGGCTGACCTACCTCTGGGCAGTCTGGACGGGAGTCGCGGGTGGGGAGAGGGAAGCCGGCGGCACTGCAGGACTCACCCATGAGCATGTCGGTGATTCCCCCGTTGAGCGTCTCCTGCGGCGCCTTCCTTTTACTCATGGCGGTCTGCACGGAGGGCCCCAGGTGTCCAGCACCTGAGCCCGACCCCCTCTTCCGGCCGTACCGAAAGACTGAGACCTGGAGCAGGGAAGGAGCCACCCAGCTCAGGGAGGTAGGCGCGACCGCCGGACAATGGCCGCCTCTGACAGGAGGCGCGGCGCGCGTGGTGACGTCACGGAGGCGGGCCAGGGGCGGGGCCGGGGTGCTCACCCGGCCCTATAGGTGTGCTATGGGCGTGGCCAGGATGTGAGGGGCGGGGCCATAGACACATGGATGAGCCCGCGCGGGCGGGGGTGCTCTGGATTTTGAGAGGGCGGGGGCCGGGGCCGGGACTGCTCTTGCTGACACGCTGTTGCACATACTCGCTGGGCGTGGGATGCATGGTATGAGATGGAAAGAGACAGCGCTGCAACTGGGACCAGAATGACCGGTACAGGCATCCTCGGACACAGAGCTGTCTAGCGCGTCTCACAGTGCGGCTCTAAGCTGTGCACTCTCTTGCCTTTTGTCACGTCCCTGCGATGAAATAGCACAAGAAAGGGAGATATGTTGACCTGGTGCGGGCACCAGCCCTTATTATAACATGAAAGCCCATCCATGAGAAGTGTACAGTCTACTTGAGAAACGGAAACATGACATCAGCATTACTGTTTAAATATAACTCCTTGCTTCATCCCAACTGCAATTCAAGGCCGTTGTCTTGTGCATAAATTTAAATGTTTATTATAAAATGATATATAGTTGCTATCGAAAAATTTGAAACATGTGTAAAAGAAGAGAATTAAAGTTAGTGATTATCTCACCATCCAGCTTAAGTCCTATTTATAATTTGGAACATACATTTCTAGGTTTCTAATACAGTTCTTTTAAAATTTCCATTAAAAGTAATGAAGTAATGTTTCAGACTAGTTTTTTTTTTTAATTAGGTCATGGTTTTCCTTTTTAGAGCACCATAAATCTTAAGTAACGCTTATTAAACCTTTGTGTTCTTATTTTGTTTAATTTCTCACTCACCCTTTACTGAGTTTCCTTAGGGGGCTGTCTTAGTAACTCATTGCTAGGACAGTTTTGTCCCAGCACCCACAATTGAAAGAAGAGGTTTATTTGGGCTCATAGGTTTTAGAGGTTTCAGTTCATAATCCTCTGGCCCCAGGTGGAAAGGGCATGGTGAAAGACAGGGTATGGGAAGAAAACTGCTAAGTCAGGTTAACAGAAAGCCAGAAAGGGGAGGAGCTGGGGAGGGAGACACGCCCTTCCAGGGCGTCCCCAGGGAACCTAGCTCTAAACCAAGTCCCACCTCCTACCCGCAAGGCCCTCAGCCTTAGCACCAACCCCAGTCCACAAGCCCACCTCTGAGTGCGCTGCGAACTTGGCAGGGCACCCCAGAATCAAGACCCAGTGGGTGTTTTTCTTCCTCCTCCTCCCCTCCCCCTCCCCCTTTCCCCTCCGCCCCATCTCCTCCTTCTGTTCCATCTGCCACGAGGTGTGTTTTATTTTCATTTATCAGACAGATAATTTCTATAATATCCCAGGGCAAACCAGAGATTCTGTCAGCCCGGTGGTGGGGAGGTCCTCTCTGAGACCCCGGGCTGGTGGCATTGGCCCGGGCTCACAGTGCAACTTGTGACTCGTGTCCATCTTGAAAGCAGCTCTTCCCCACATCACGCTTAGGGTGTGGGGGTTTGGAGACGATGGGGTGAGAAATCCCCTAGGCTTTTAGGAAATCTCACTCGCTTTTCCTGCTCAGTGGTCTCTTTGGTCGGCAGGGTATGGCAAGGTGTTCTTCTCCTGCCTGCCTGTCTTCTTCAGCTCGGCCTTATGGAAGCTGGCAATTTCCTCCATGTCTGGCTTGTCTGCCATTTTCTCAAAACAATCTGAAGTGTCCTTCTCTGAGCCTGAGCTCCAGGTTCTCCCTGGGATATTTATTAATCTGTTAGATCTTTTACATACTACTATAGTATTCGTTTGTATTATTGTATTTAAAGATATTTATTTATTTTGGTACCAGGGATCCAATTCATGACCTTGCACTTGCCAGGCAGGCACTTATGCCACAGAGCTAAATTCCCAGCCCCTAAGAAACTTTTTTTTGGTGGTACCAGGGATCAAACTCACGCTTGCTAGGCAGGCACTTAGGCTACTGAGCTAAATTTAAATTCCTGGCCCCTAAAATTTTTATAAATTTTGTATTTTTTTCTAATTTGTTTCTTGGCTTTCAACTTTATTCCTATAAAATTATAACTCCCATCTGTTTAGATTTGCCCTCATTTTTCCTTATTCATATTTTTCTCCTACTCATATTTTTCCCTGTCAAAGTGCTACTCCAGGCTCTATTCAGATTACTTTGTTCTGGAGAATTATTCCTCACTAAATCAAAATGTTTTAATCCCCCTCCCAAGTTTGAAAGTTACAAATGTAGGGAATTGAGATAATTTTTAATAAATATTATGAACACCATATGAAAATCTACCAAGAACATTGATCACTTCTGTCTTTATCTTGTTATACCAACCTACATTTGAGCCACATAACCACTCTTATTGATATAATTTATGGATTGACTCCGGAAGTACCACCTACTCTGCATTTTCCTTCTCTTTTCTGGCCTCTTTCCCCTAGCTCTTCACTGGCCAGCCTTTATGGGAGATGGCCTCAGGCTTTGACTGTCTAACTAGCTTTTCCACCTTGTCCAGCTTTACCTTCTTAAACACCATGTCTAGCTTGAAGACTTCCGTATTTCTATTTTTAGCCTTGAGCTCCTTTCATGTACCAAACTTACTCCTGAATATCTCTAGTTCTTTATCATATGTATCTTAAAGATAAAATGTCCTAAGCACTCTTGATTCTTTTCCTCTTAGCTTCTCCTGAACTTTCCCCCATCACAGCAAACAACAGTTTAATCCACTCTATCATCAGGCCAAACCACAGAAGTCTTCCTTAATTACTTTCTTTTTATGCTTCACATTCAGTCTCTTGGCAAGTTCTTGTTGTTTTGTCTCCAGAACACTGTTGGCCTTTAGTCTCTGCTGTTTTCACATTTGCAGGCAATCACTGTGGATCACAAATACTCTGAATAAAACTGTCTGTCCTCAACATACACATTTTTTCTTGTTATTGCCTAAACAAGACAATATAACTCTATGTATATAACATGTCCATTGTACTAGATGTAGCTAGACACGATTTAAAATACCTGAAAGGATATTCATAGGTTCTACACAAACACTTCACCACTTTAGTCAGGTACTTAAGCATCATTTACTTTGAATTCTTGGGGGACCCTGGAAAAATCCCCCATGGATATGAAGAAGACTGTATACATACTGGGTCAGATTCTCTCTCATCACCTCAGTTTAGTGCGACCTGTGGTGGTCTCCTGAGCTACTGCCTTGGCCTCATCAACTGACTTCCTGCTTCTGCTCTCGTCCTCCTCAAGACTCGTCAGCAAAAAATACATCGAGTGATCTTTTAAAGCTGTAATACCAAAACACATCACATTTATTCAAATATCCTCATTCCACCTTGAGTGAAATCTAAACTCCTTCCTGTGGCCCGGGCCTATTAGGATCCATAATGACCCAATATGATCCTAACATAACCCTGCCTATAAGAAATAATTTTATTTCTTACTTTTCTCTTTGTCTGTGGCACCTATGTTGTTGAGGATCACAAATTCACAATGGCTAATTTTGCACATTTCCCTATGGGATAAAAGGGAGGTTTGGGATTATCAGTACCATCTATCTGAGATTTCCCATTGACTCTTCTAAGCATTAAGATCATCATCTATGTTTTCTTAAATCATCCCAGGATTATACTCCAGGAGCAGATCCTTCTTAGTATAAGATCATCTACCCCTCTTGAGTCTGAATCTTCTGATAACTGTAATCTTTTACTAGCCCCACCTACCACTGTATATACCTAATAAAAAGTGGTTGCTTTGGGAGTGGAAAAAGTCATCTAGGGGACACTGACTTCCCTGCCCCTGATACAATACTGTATTTGTCTGTTTTTTATTTTTCTTGCCATATTCTTAAGATAGACATTCAGGACTCTTGGCTGGACTCCCAATACATAACAAACACTGCTCTGGGTGCTATATAGACAGCAACCAATAAACCAGATCTCTTGTGGAGATCTGAAGATGTCAGTTGGTGATAAAATAGCATTAAAACAACTCAAGTACCGGGGGCGTGCTCAGTTGTGGAGCATGTGTGAGGGCCACGAGTCAAATCTCCAGCATCACAAACACAAACAAAATGAGTCAAAATAAGTTGTGAGGGCAGTCCCTGAATAGAATGGGTTCTAGGTCTGAGAGGGTGGTTAGTAAAGGCCTTTGTGACACAACTACCATGAGCAGAGAAGTGCCTGAGGAGGAAAGGAGTAGCAAGGAGTCCAGGGAACCTAGTGCAGGCAGAAGAAGCAACAAGGACAGCCCCAAGGCCAAGAAAAAACTCTACACAAACTGGGATGAATGCTCTCACCGTTCTAACCAATGGTTATACCAATGAGAGTAACTTAGAATGAGCTGCTTTGACTTGAGGAAGTAAAATAGTGTGCAAAATACACAGTTAGCAAGGGCAAGAGTGGCACAGTATGAGGTCAGAGAGGGGGTGGCAGTGGGAGAAAGAGACGTGGTGGTGGGGCCTGGGTTGTGGAGGACCTTCTAGTAGGCTGTCCTTAGAACTTTGGATTTTAGTCCGACTGAAGTGTAATCCTTGGAAGGTTTCGAGCAAAGAAGTGACAATCTGACATAGTTCTCAAAATAATATTCTGGCTGAGGCAGGGGAGGAGACCAGCTAGCAGGCAACTGCAATAATCCAGGCAGGATATGGCGATGGCTCAGGCCCAGGACATCCAAGGAGACAGTGAGAAGGAATCAGATCTGGATATATTTTGAATGCTGAGTCAGCAGGGCTCACAATTGGCAGGGGATGGTGAGAAACTCAGAGGGGCTTCCTGGTTATTTGAGTCACTAGAAGAATGTGACTGCCATTTATGTAGATGGGAAGACTACAAGAAGTCTGGGAGCCAAAATCAGAAGTGGGCTTTGGGAATGTGAAATCCCTATTGCAGTACAATTAGCTGATAATATTGACAAGGCAGTTGGATATTCTGGAGTGCAGTATTTGTGTGGTATTTAAAGCTCTGAGGCAGAATTAA